CATTTCTAAATCCTGAACACAAAAAATTGTGCGCTAAACTCCCAAGCTCTGAAAGCGTGAAACCCAAAGGGCCGTCCAAATACCCTAAGCCCCAAGGCTCAGTGACTCCCAAAGCCCGTGTGCATCTTAGGCTCTGTTTCTTGATCGTGAAGGGTTTTAGGGTTGTAAGTTGTAGGGTTTAGGATTTGGGGTTACAGGGTTTCGGGCTTTGGGGGTTTAGGGTTGTTAGGGTTTACAGTCTGAGGTTTAGGGATGAGTTTTGAAGTGCAGGAACGAGCGTGCACGAAGAGAGCCCGACAGCGCTCAATTTTCGACTTTAGACAATACCCCAGAGCCCAGTCGGAGTGTTTGCGGGCTGATTGCAGGCGTATCATGGATTTCTACTTCTTCACCGATGCTGCTTTGTATTTCTTTGGCGTGGAGCCTGCCTGTCTTGCTGAGAGCTGGGCATGGCGCGGAGCTTCGCAATAAACCATCCCCTATACTGTTTTGGGGGCTCTTTATCATAGTCATAGTATAATGGGCCGCCAAACCCTATGCTAATTATACACCCCATAGCAGGTCCCAGTCGTGAAAAAGCGCTCTCAGGGCTCTAGATCAAGGCTTTGAGGGGTTTCGGGTCTAGCTTGGTTGGCTTTAGGTGGTTGGCCATAGGTGAGTGAGAGTCTTGTTCCCGGTGCCCTTGATTGTTCAGGTTTCAGGGTGTATGCTTTTGGGATTAGGTGAATGTGACCGGGGCGTAGGATGTGGGCAATCCAGGATGTAGGATCTGGACCAGCCAGGACTACCCGTCGGGTCCAAATTGGTTCGTACGGCTGATGCTTGGCCTGCAGGGCAACCACTGTTATGGTTCTATGCCCCCCACCTTTGACACCGGGATGATTGTTGTTACTGCTCTGCCTCCCTTGTTCACGATTGAAGCGCTCGCTGCCGTGCTTCTTCAGATTTTCCGCAGCATGCGGACTTCCCTTGCGTCTTCTACTTGGGTTTGGGCTACGCCCTGCTCTTGCCAAGCTCGGAACATTGAGAGCCTTAGTTAATTTCCTGACCTTCACGAGAGACGACTTCTCCGGACACCTGCCAAGGAAGCGGAACATTGCCATTTTGCCTGGTGCTTGGCTTCGCAGGGCTTGGAACGGTACTAGGGCCATGACTGTCGCGATTCCTCTGACTCGCTCGCTGATCGTTGTGATAACATGCACTACGGCGTGGCCATCGTCAAAAGCAGCATTTGTTACAGATGAGTGGCTCTTACGCCGTACCAGGACCAGTTGCAGGGTTCAAGGCTGTACAGCTTTGTAGGAGTTGGGTCGCAGGCTTTGGGATGTCCTGTCTGGTTGTCAGGTTTCGGCTTAGGGCTGAGGCTTTGTTGGGCATCTGAACCCATTTTGTAGCATTATTTCCACGCCCTTTATAGAATTCTTTCTAGAACCCTAAAAGAGCTCTGTTGCCCATAAGATATTTTCTTTCCATTGCTCCCCCTGCTGAAGAAACCCTAAACCCTAAACCTCAAACTGAAGGAGCCCAAACCCTAAACCCTCGAGAGCCTCCGTGGAAGCCCCAAACTCGCCGAGGCGCGTGTCCGACCGAGCCGGCCGAGTTGTGTGGGCGGCTCAAGGGCATATGTACATCCTTACATATGTATATACATTATATTTATAATATAGGAAAAAGGAAAGCTGCAAAACTCGGGCCTGTAGTGCGACGCTTTCTGTATTTATATATGTGTATGTTTCTAAATGTATGTATATACATATATACATATATATATATGTATATATATATATATATATGTATGTATGTATGTATGTATGTATATATGTATATGTCTGTATGTGTGTATATATATATATATATGGATGTGTGTATATACATGTGTATATAGAACTATATATATATATATATATATATATATATATATACCCATGTGTGTGTGCGTGTATATACGTATTTATACACACACACACATATGCAAACACACGGTTTTCTTGTGCAGCTTAAGGCTGGGCTTAAGGGCTTTAAGTTCTTGTAGTTTTAAGTTAGCTTCTCAGGGCTTTGGAGTGCCTGGGGGGTATTTCAGACTTCTTGGAGAGTTTGAGGGCTTCGGGTTTTGGAGTCTCTTGGGGCTTCGGGTGTTCGGTCGAGGGCTTCGGTTTTGGGTTTTTTGAGGGTTCGGGGTTCAAGGTAACCTATTTTGCGCTGCAGCTGTAGTGAAACACCTCATGACCCGTATGACTAGTATTACTTGTCGTATCAGATCTTGCTAGTAACACGTACTCGTGTTATTGCAACTGGCATGACTAGCATTGCTGGTGTTTTTGGTATTAAGTGTACCAGGCATGTCTGGTACTACTAGGAATGCTGGCATTGCTAGTACTACTACTACTGCTGCTGCTGCTGCTGCTGCTGCTACTACTGTACTACTACGGACCACCACTACGACGAAGACGACGACTGCACCAAGTGGCAAGTCGCAGATTACATGGCTAGGCCGTTATGGTTATAGTACAATGTCCCCCAAAGCCCAATTCGAAGTATTATCAGGGCCCCTATACTACGTCCGTGGTTGATCTTCGTTGTTCTGGACACCGGAAAGCTGCGGAGGTACAACAGCTTCGCCGTCAGCGGCGAGCACCGGGCTCCTGGGGCCCCCTTGGTCCCTCGGCCAAGCGCTGCACTGTTCAGGGTTTGGGGTTTAGGGATGTTTAGGGTTGAGGGTTTAGTAATTTAGGGTTTCGGGGTTTAGGACTTGGGGAAGTTCAGGGTTCAAGAGTCAAAGTTTTGGTCTTCGCGTTGGGCCACATTGGTGGGGCGGATTTGGCTTCTCGTAACTTTGTGATAGCGGTGCCATTTACCGATGTTTGTTCGAGGGAGAGTACACTACTACTATGCGCTTGCCCTTCTGCCCCAAACCCTAAACCCTACCAGTAGCCGAAAAGAGCTACCTTTCTCAGGAACGATATATAGAAACCAGAATAAGGAACCTTAAAAAGGTAGGTCTTTTCGGCTACAGGCAGAGCCAAAAATTTAACTTGTGTCTGAGAGTTTGCGGCTCTCAGAGCCGCTTGACATGGCTCAATTGTGGCAGCCTCCGTTACCAAGCTGAGTAGGTAACCTTTAACCGCTTTTATAATCCTACCATAGTTAACAAGGTCAACTTTCTTTGAGGCTAGGGTACTCAGCCCCTAAGGAATGAGCATCTTCAGGGTTTTCCAAGCTGCCTCCGAGGCTCCGGATGCTGGTCCTTTGCTTTCCGTGGAGGCGAAGGACCCTGGCAGGATAGTATAAGGCTCAAATACTAGTTTGGGGGGTTTCCTTATGATGGCAAAAGAAAAATGGGCCCCAAAACCGTTAAGGCCCCGAGATAAGGGGCTTTGGAGGTTGCGCTGTGTCAGGAGCCGGATTTGTATTGGTTCAGGGTTCAGGATAAAGTTTTTGGGCGTGTAGCTTGCAGGGCTAAAGGTACAAAGTACAAAGGTTTCTTCTCATCATCCAGCTCAGGACCCACATGACCGATTTTGCGTGCAGCATGACGTGCCGAAGCCCTGTATTCTGCGGGCATGTGAACCCTAAGCCTCTTTAAGCCCTCAGCGAAACCCACCCTTTTTCAACTCAACCCTCAATCATCCGATCGAGAAACTAAAGCAAGGCTCCCTGTAGGGCTTCAGGGTTGGGGGCTTTGGGTTAGAGTATATAGGTCGTGTCAGAAGCCCGCCACTGCGCATCTGCCTTTCGAAGGTGACGGCTGCGCAACCCTGAAGCTGCTATAGGGGCCTAAATAATTGCCAATACTGTTTTGGGGTTCCTTATTATAATTATAGTTGAATGGGCCCCAAAATCCTATTCTAATTATTAAGTCCCCCATATTGCAGTATTCTTGGCTGCCGTTGATAGCACCGCCCCACACCTCTTTCTTGATGTTTTGAAGGGCCTCAGGCCGCAGGACATCTGCATTATCATCCACAGCAGCTCCGAAAACATAGTTTGGATTTTGGACTGCTAGGGATTCAGAGCTTTGACAGTCCCCTTGCTATGTACATGGAGCTTGTTGAGCCCGATTGTCTCTCTCACTCTTGTTGCCATTGATTGTCATCATGGCTAAATTTCACGTTGCCCATTCTTGTATAGCGAGGGATCTGAATTTTTAGCGCGATTGTTCCCTCGTAGTGGATAAGGAGATACAACGCAAAAGACAGGCGGTTGTTATCATCATCACAGCCATGGTAGGGCGGCCCTTGTTAACCCTTAAAAGTACCCCTACAGTACCCTCGCAATTACCCTTGCCATACCCTTACCCTATTCTCCGTAAGGTTTAGACTTCGCGGTTTACAGGTTTCGGGTCTCGAATTCGCATGGTGAGGGTGTTTCGAGCCGTGGTGTACTTACCCCGAGTTGAGTCGACCCATGTTCAAGGACGAGCACGGCCGGATGTTCAATCGCAGGGATCTCAGAGTGGTGCTCCACGAGCCCAAAACCCGAACGCCCACAAAAACCCAACCCTCCGAACACCCCTCTAAAACCACAATTAAACATGCGTCTCCTGTACTACGCTTGTAAGTAGAAAGCCTTATAGTACCCGGAGAAAACCGAAGAGCAACCCGGTGTAGTACCCATATAGTAACCCCTGAGTGCCATAATAGTAACCTGAGAGTAGCCCCCATAATTACTCACCTTGCAGTACCCTAACATTTATAGTACCCCTTGTCGGCCTTAAGCACGACAGGCAACCCGGATGACAACCCTGCTAGGAACCCCTGAAAGTACTCCTTAGATGAAGCCTTAAAGGAACCCGAAACCGAGGACAGCACGATGCGGAGTTCAAGCTCCTCAGCGGCTTCTGCCAAGTGGCCGCCGGCTTCGCCGACGGCACCTCCGAAGGCGACGCTGGAGTTCGTCAACAGCAGCGGGCCCACTGCCCGACTAACATAGGGGCCTTTTTTCTCGGCGGATTGCAGAGTCGACAGACGCATCCGTAGCAATGAATTCGGTGAAACGGGAATCTACTGGATACGCTTCCACCAGAAACTACGCGTTCCTGCTCGTGGCGGTTCTCGTGTGCGAGTGTGGATATCACTGCACACCCATGCCGCAAACGCGGGGTTCTGCGGAGGCTGAACCAGTAGGGAGATCGGGGCATCTTCCCCTAGCGCGCTGAGTAGTTCAGCGCGCGTAGGCTGGGCTGGGCCGTATGCCTGTAGCACCGGTTGGTTGGCATCAAAGGCCTGCCAACAACCCGTACGTAGGCGCTTTTGATGCGCGCGGTCTGCCTGCTCAATGGCGCGCACGGCCGGTAAATCCAACGGCGGCATCAGAAGATGTACCCGGGCAAGACAGCGAGGGACACTCTTAAGATGGTTTTGTGCACGGGGAATGGTGTGGAAGTGCTTGAGACAGGCGAGGCAAGTAGCGTGAGGCGCGAAAAGACGCTTGGGAGCTGGCAGGCCATGGCGGCGAACGATGTGGACACTCAGGTGTTTCTTGAGCGGAAAGCTGGCAGAGCAGAACGGGCATTGAAAGTCGGCCTCAGCAGGCGGAGGAGAGGGTGACAGCTGCCCAGTCGGCTCGGCACGAAGTCGTGCCCAGCGATCGAGGTCGGCAAAATAAATGCGTGTGGCAGCATTGATCTGCCGGCGCCACCATGTGCGATCCTGGAGCATAGCCTCAGTCAAAGCAAGCAAGGGGCAGGGGGAGTCCAATACTAGTTTCGCTGCGGGGCAATACATGGCCACATACTCAATATCACCCTTGAGCATGGCCAGCCATGAGCGCTCTGGAGAGGACTCCCACTGGAGCCACCATAAATGCAGGAGGGTCTGGGGTCCATGCTCTAAAACCCGAAGGTATAGACTGGCCCTGGCCTTGGCAAGTGCAAGAGGGGGAGCAAGTGCTTGGGCCTGCCTCAGGACTTCGTATGAGTGGATCTTGCGGGCGGAGGACGACCGTGGTTGCAAGGCCTTCCAGATGGAAGTATACAATCTGGCCCACAATCGCCACTGGTAGGCGACGTGCAGCTCCATAGTTGCAGAGCCGTAAGTGAACTTGGTGGCAACAAGCGAACCAAGAAGTGTACGCCGCAGCGGGAGTGGGATACTGGGATTGCCAAAGAGGGTACCCCGCAGTGGGCGCAAAGTCCAGGTACACTGCGAGTAACGGTAATAGATCTCGGGGAGCAGGGATGCAGAGCAGGTAACGATCCCGCCGAGATGCTTGTACGCCTGGACAGCAGGCAGATGCACCACACACCCAGTAACACCGTCATGAACGGGTATGGCATGGGAGTAAGCAGCGCCAGAAGGCGGCGGGTCACACACGCCGGCAAATAAGACGGCAGGCGGCAGAAGTGCCGCGGTTTTGTCGACGGCAAAGGAAAGCTGCATACCGATGGAGGTGGCATGGGTAAGAAAGGCCGAAGTGGTGGCGCGAACCTTGCTCACAACCTGAGGAGGATTCGCTGCTGACATCATGGCAGCGAAATCGTCAGCCCATGAGGCGGGCGGCAAATCCCGGGCTTCAGCGAGCCCGTCGACTGGCAGGCGTGTGGCGCAGGGAGGCAGCACCGTAACAAGGGCTTCCCGCTGCAAGGAAGTCTGCACAGAACGGATATAGGCGCTGAAACTCAGGGCAAAGAAAACGTCTGCTAGCGGATCGCCAGGGCGGACGCCCGCTGCGGTGGCGACTAACTCCGCGCGCTGGTCGAGCCTAAACCACGTCCCACGGAATAACTCGCGTGTGATAGCCTCGAGATGCAGGGAGCCACCACCGTCTGCAATGTGGTTGAGACTAGTCAGGTGGTCACGGAGCTCTTCGAGGGCCGCAGGCGGTACTCCAAGCTTGTGAAAGAGAGACCTGATGACAAAGTCATCTGGAGTGGCGCTGGTAAGGGTCTCTCGCACTACTTGGTAGTAGGCCGCACGAACATCAAAAAATACAACGGCTGGGTGCTCACCAAGGGCATGAGCGTGCGCTTGGAAACTACGCACAGCAGTGGCTATTGAGTCCACCCCTACCCCTGGGTGGACTCCGCCCATGAGGTCATGTCCAACTCGCCGGAGGAGGGGTGTGATGCGCTTTCTCAGGCTTTTGTGCAACAGCTTCCCCGGCACGCTAGATAGGAGAATGCTCCGATACTTGTCGCACTCGAAGGCGGCGGACGCTTTCTTCGCTAATGTCATCAAAGCTCCTCCTTTGAACTCAATAGGCTCACGCAGGGTAAGCAAGCTTTTGACGAAAAGAGGTAGCAGCTGGCGCGCAGCCGTCGGTACCGCTAACTTGAGCAACTCTGACGTCACACCGTCCGGGCCAGCAGCCTTGCCTCTCTTGAGTTGGAGCACCGACCCTTCTAGTTCACCAAGAGAGGGAAGCAGAAGGGGATCAAAAGCCGGCACGACAGAGGAACGGTGTTGACCATCCGTCGCGAATTGCTGGGCGTAAGCAGAGGGAGTAACAGTTTCGCCGCATTCCTGGGCGGCGAAATGGCCGTTCCACCGAGCAGCACGCTCCGCTCTGGTGGTAGCCAACTCGCCGTTAGCGAGTGCTACCGCTGGGAGCGGCGTGAAGCGTGACCGCTTAGCCGATGCAGCCTTGGGAAAGGCCTTCCGGACACAGTGGTAGAGATGGCGCGGATCACGCATATCTGCCTGTCCAACCTCAGAGACAAGTTTCTCGAGGTAGCGGCAGCGATCAGTCTTGACAGCCTGGCGAACATCGGTGCCAAGCCGGTTGAGTTGACCCCATGTAACGGCAAGCCGTTGGTTGGCTTGTTTAACCCAGTGCCATGTAGCAGCAACATCGGTGGCAGTAAGCCGTGAACCTGCTCTAGAGTGGGTAAAAGCAGCAAACGCGGTGACAAGAAGGCGCCGTTGGAGCTCCTTTTCCGCGACCCTTAGGGCTAAGCGAGTGTCCTTGCGGGCTCTGATAACACCAAGGGTATGTGCGGTGAGGAAGCTCTGTTGGGGTCTGGCAGGGGAATGGGGCTGGACACTGCGCCCGGCAGCCGTCCAGACCCGCACAAAAGAAGCAAAATGACTGTCGACGTCCGCAGTCCAGGCAACAAGTGGGGCAGAGTGCACGGCCTGGGAAAAAGCTTGCCGATCCACATCGGGGTCAAGGTCATTGGGGCGACAGGCTATCCGACGAAAGGCATCGGCGGTATGTGACCGACCCTCTCGTGCAAAAGTGCACTCAAGGATGACAGGTAGGTGGTCGCACCGTCTCTGCAGAGCCTCAAAGGTGTGCCACACCCGAGAACGACAAACAAAACGGGCCCAGGACTGGGGAATGCCAACATAGTCGATGCGGTGCTGGTCTCCGTGAGGGGATTGCCATGTCCATGAAGCGCCATTGTGCGCTTCCGGGAAGGTAGCTGGAAGCCACAACCCATTGCGCAGAAGGAAGCTGTGAAAGTGGGCAGCGGCAGGGGTCTCGGTTTCTGCATGATGCGACCCAACAGCTTCGCTCTCAAGGCTACCTAGGCGGGAGTTAGCGTCAGCTAGCAACAGGATTGGGACATCCTTGGGCAGGCGGCCTAAATCCTGGGTCCTGGCAGCCCAGAAGGCATGAAGGATGCCATGTTCGTCTTGCGGGTCCGAAGGTGCATGCACAACAAGGACCCCGAGGCGCAGATATGGTGCCTCAACACAGACGACAAGATGTCGAGGAGAGGTTGCTGAAACTGTGCAATGCTGGGGTTCCAGGCAAAGAGGCTTACCGGCAACAGTTGCATATGGAATATCCTTACTGATCCAGAGGGCACATCCGTAGTTACCGGCCTCGTTAGCCCCTGAATGGAGCAGAATGTGTGTCCGGTCTGGCAGCTGGGCGGTATCCTGAACCCTTGTCTCTTGTAGGCCGGCGAAGAGTACACTCTGTGATTGCAGCTGGCGCAGAATCACATGTCGGCGGCCAAGAATACGGAGACCGGCGTGCACCTTGGCCTGTCTTTTGGCATGGGCACTCTCAAGGAGAGTCAAGACATTGAAGGTCACCGCGGTGATATGATATCGGACAGATTGTGGCGGCTGATCCTGTGAGCGCACAACCCCACATCGAGGTGGCGGCCGGGGCTCAGGAGCGAGAGCTTGAAGCCGCCGTGCTTCAGACTCGAACGCAAAAAGCGTGGGAAGGTCTGGGGCAGCTATATGAGCAAGCCAAGCCCAATCAAACAGCTTATGTGCAACGAGGCAGCCAGGCCATTCAGGCAGGACACGTTCATCGATCGGGGGAATCTGTCTGCGGGTGTACTTGGCAAGTGCGTCACTAAGCTCATTACCTAGCACACCTTGGTGTCCCGGGGTGTAATCAGAGGTAAGGGTAACACGGGTCTCAGCAATGTGCCGGAGGGCCACAGTAACATGGCTAAGGCACGGGCCGCCGGTGACTCCTGACACTCTAGAAGGCAGCGCATGGGCGAAAGTACCCTCCCCTGCGGCAGTGCAATCATAGTGGAGGTGAACAGGACAGCAGAAGGTGGGGCCATGTTCAATAATCCACGTTAGTGCCCAAGCGATGCCGAGCAACTCACTAGTAAGCGGTGAGTCATCCGATTCGCCCAGAAAAAACCTGGTGAAAGGGGCAACAGCAGTACCCGCGGCGAAGCCGTAGAAATACCAGGTGCCAGCGGTCTCGACCCAGACATTGAATGCCCAGCCACAGGGTGCACTTGCAAGGGGCTCATGCTTGCCACAAGCGGAACCGTCTGTATAGACGTGTACGCTAGTAGCTGCGTTGCTGCCGCTGGCACCGTTGGTGTGCCAATAGGCAAAAGTTGGGATCGCCGCTTTGACCTCTGGGGAGGTATCAGGGGCGGTGCATAGGGGCCGTAAATCATTGTCTAGCCAATCCGGATCACTGGCTGCAGCGACAGCTGGGACGAGGGTCTGAAGCTCCAGGCAGTCCGTTTGGTAGTCCGTGAGCGGCACGGCCTCAGCGAGCTGGATGACACGCTCGGGTCTCTCAGAAGACCCTTTGGAATGCGCAACGCAGCTGCGAGACGCAGCGGCGGGGGCTGCGTGTGCACAGTGCTCAAATAGAGTCTCGAGCAAAGTAGAGGCGAGAAAGGCCCAGGTACTGTCTCGCTCAGCAGCGAGGTCAAGAAGGGTAGGCAGGCCGAGGGCTATGCCGGGGCGCGGCCGGGTCTGTGCAAGGGGCGGCGCTCCTGAGACAGACTCGGAGTCCGTAAGGGGGGGAACCCCGTGTGCAACAGTGCAGCGGTCCAAGCCGAGGACATCCGCAGCAGTGGTATCGAGAGGAGCACCTGGCAAACTGGGAACTGTGGGGCTGCATGCTGGCCGCCGCGTTCGACACGGCGTGGCGACAGGGCGGAAGGGCAGGGGGTAGTCCAATGTCACCAGGTGTTGTATCGGTGGGTGCAGCGGTAACAACAGGTATTGTGACGGCGGCAAGCAGGAGAAGGACGAGGAGAGGCGGCCAGCCGGGGTGTCTCCCCCTACCGTGTCCTCGAATCAACTGCGCTGGAAGGAGGGCAAGAAGCACTCCAAGGGCACCCAAAGCACGCACAATGGCGAGCGAGCAGGAAATAAGTCGCAAACCACCATGCAGGAGGATAGAGGTGAACGCCAAGCTACTCACTTGTCGCCACTTAACTACTCGACTGACATGGTTTCCGCGCGATGTATCAAAAGAAGTCGACACGGCAGCTGTGCTGCCAGGCGGAGGGGCAGCAACATCTCCGGGCCGTTCGGTGCCACCAGTGCCTGCATCGGTACGCCAGGAAGTCTGCCCGTGGCCATCTGGTCCGGTGGAACCAGTGGCAAGCCTGGTAATGCCGCTGAGGGCAGGCCTGCCGTCGATGTAGCAGAGGACACCCCCATGTCTTGCTTCATGGTTGAGCGGGTCCGCTCCAAGCACGGCGATGACATTGAGGGAGAGAACCCCTTGGGCGGCATGGTCCCTGATAGCTGGATCGGGCGCGACAAGCATAAGGCTGTCAGGCCTTGCGTGCACAGCGGCTGCAACGTCGTCCCTGAAAAACGAACGCCGCCCTGGGGGCACGATAAACATGAAGTTTCCAGTGTCTGCGAGAAGCCACACGGTGTCCTGGTAGACCGCGTCGGGGGCCCAGTCAGGATTCCAGTCATGAGGAGAGGCGAGCAGCGCACCAAGGGATCGGGTTGGGATAGGGACATGTGCAGCCTGGGCGACAGGCGTGACAACAACGGTGTCACCTGTTCGCAAGTCGTAGACTGCACCCCTGGGAAGGGGCCAGGGAAGGTCGCGGAGATAAAGGTCGACAACCGCATCAGCGGCCACTCCAAGCGCTCGGAGCAAGTCATCCCTCCGAGCCACACGAGGGAGCTGCAACGCAAAGACAGCTCCATTGATCCGCGTCAAGTCGCACGCGATGGTGACTCCATCTGGGGTCCAGAAAGGGAGTGCAAGAATGAACGCAACGCCAGGGATTGTTTGCGGATATGCCACAACGAGCCTTGGCATGCACAGCCTGGAAAATGGAGCTCTTGCGGCCCCGACCCGCTCAAGTGCGAGGTTCTCCGGACAACCAACTGGCAAACGCGCATGGACTAGCTCGGGGCAGTAGTCCTGTGCTAAGACAAAAAAGGTTCCGGGGAGATACGCGTCAGGCAAATCGACGGCCGGGGCAGTAGCAGAACCATCTGCTACAGCAGTGTCATCCGAAACCGCAGTGGGTAGGCCGGAGGAGGCAGCAGAGCCTGACGGATTTGCAGTGGGACCAAAAGACTGGGGAGGGCCTGTGGGGTGACGTAGGGGGGCATCATCATCGGGCGCGGCAGTGACGGCAGCATGTTGCTGGTCCAAGGGCCCTGCCGACGCGTGTCCTGTAACCCTGGCAGCAGGGATTGCAACGCGGCCTATACGATAAAAGGCAACAAGTACCTGACCTGGGTAGACATCGATCTCGTCCAGGCCGTCAGGGATGTTGTGTAGACAAGCCTGCCAACCTTCGGGGGAACCCTGTCCAAGATCGACACGTAGAGTGTCGCAAGAGAGCCGGTGCCGCCTGGCGATAAAAGTCTGCCAGCCGCGTCCGAGGGCGCGCAGGTCAAGCAGCACCGCACACCATGGAGGGGGCCCTGTCTCTGCCCCATTGCAAACAGCAAGTATGGTGCGGCACAGGAGGCCATTGAGAGTGGCATCGGTGACACGCGGCACAGCAGGAACCAACTGTAGGGAAGCAAGTGGGATGCCAAGTGCCGCGGCGACTTGTGGGCGGTGCCGAGTGGGCCGCCGAGGGTCGGTCAAATGCAGAACTATTTCATCGTGGTAAACAAGGGCATATGCATCTGGCGCAGCATGTTCGGCAGCTGGCATACTGCGGCGCCACATACGCCAATCTGTAAGCATCCAAGCAAGCGATAGTGGCCGCGGTGGGACAAACTCGGGCGGTGTAAAGAAGACAACAAGCCCGGTCCACAGGTGGACCCGCACGTCGGTGCCCAGGGGCTGTGGGCCATCCCCCACATAAACTGCTACACCAAGGTTAAATTGGATGTCAGCAAGATGCAGAAGGGCTATCTTATCGGCATAGCTTGGCGCAGCCACAGCAAATCGGCGGCCATCAAGGCGCGTTGTGTCTAGACAGACTATCTGCCCCTGTCGTTGCCAATCAGCGATCGCGACCACAACACCTATGCCCTGCTGTGGCTGAGGCTCCGCTGGTGCCAGAACATGGAACCATTGACTGTGCACACTGTTGCGGGCATGATGGACTGTGTCCAAGGCTTCGATAAGGGTAGCAGGGTAGCGGATAAAAACAGCGACATGTTCAGGGGCATACCCAGGTGCATACAGTGCAAAGAGCGCAAGACGATCTGCGATGTCTGCGTCCTCAGGATCCTCTGAATCGCTGGAGCCAGGAATCACTTCCGCATCTGCAGCTGGCAGGTAGCGCCAGGCTTCGCCTAATCGCGGAGCGAAATACCGAAGGACAGCAAGGGCATGGCGGGAAGCAGCGCTGTCGGATTGCGGTTCCAGAAGGAGCTTGGCACAGCGAAGGCGATGGGCAATGTGCTGCCTACGGACCTGTGCAACCACAAGGGCAAGGAACAAAATCCCGAGGAAAAGGCCCCAAAACCCTATGGTGTGGGTGTATGTCTCGCGGCCAACAGGGCCAGCGAGATTAGTGCCAGTGTGCGGGGGAATTAAACCATAAAGTGTACCCGGGGCGGCACAAGCATTATGCAGCTGTTCACTAAGCGTACACCCTATAACTAGCTTGACGGCAAGGCCATGGCCGTCAGGGCGATTAGGGTGCGCGGCACCCTCGCGGCGTCGTTTACGATTGCGATTGCCCGGTGTAGGGGCAGGGGCAGGCTTAGGTGCTGGTGGCACAGAAGACGTGCTGCTGGAGTCGTCCGCGTCGGACTCGTCATCTGGAGGAATAGGCCCCTCAGTGGCTCCTGGCTCAAGCAAGTCGTCCTCGTAGGCGACTTTCAGGACCTGACCATTATCGATGCGTAAAAAGGTTTTTTTCCCCTTCGCGTTCTGGCGTACCCCCGGTAACAGAGGTATAGAAGCCGGAGGGCATTGGGTCGAACTCCTGGAGGAGAAGGTCCAAGTCGACCCTTCCGGTCGGTGCAATGTGCCAAGTGATATCGGCAAGCATGGCGCGCCGGTCCACAGCATATGCAATGCAAGGCGGCCGGGGCCGGGCCGGAGGAAGCGGCGGCCCGATGGGCTGCTCAGTGGCGATCAACACGGCTCTGCACACAAAACCCTGGAAGTTGTAGTCAGCTACCCTGGGGTGTAGGGTCTGCAAGGATGCACGATGCTCTTCATAACGGAGAAAGGCAACCGCAAACTGTCGCAGGGCAACATACGACGTCGAAGCCGAAGCAGGAAAATCGACAATGGTATTCCAGGCGTCGGTGAGCAGATAGAAGGGCGTCTGAAGAAAGCCACCGAAATCAGGCACAGGCAGGTGCCAGCCGTCGGGCTGGTTCAGCATATCCGGCAACCAAGAGACACCTGGCAAAGCAGCTTGTGCGGGAAGGAGAAAAATGACGTCTCCTTTGCTCAGAAACAGTGCCTCATGTGCCTGGTGCAGATGACCTTGGTGCGCAACTCTAAAGCCTAATGAAGGCTTGAGACTCACTTGTGCCAAAACGGAGCCGGGATAAATGCCGCTCTCGAAGCATGCAGCGAAAAGCCTGCCGTCGATAGCACGAGCGTCAACAATGACGCACACAGCCTGAGTGGCCCACCCTGGCAGCGCGATAAAGGTGCAAAATCGCGAGTCGGGTTGGGGTTGTGCCACCACAAGGTGTTCATATGTGGTTTCGAGAAGCTCGCGGCGCCGTGCCAGAAGTGCATCGCACGCCCGCTGAGGTGTGCAAGGAATGTCAAGCGAGAGCTCGTAGGTGGCAGGCGCAACTCTAGGACAGAGAACGAGGAACCCCACATGTATAGGTGACCCAAGACCGACGTGAGGCGGCACTGGAGCTGACGCAGCTGTCAAAGGGCATGCATTGGCAGCAGATGCAGGACAGGCTGTGCGTGGCGATGCAACTGAAGCAGCATCAACGGGTGCGTCCTCATACTCATAGCCAAGGGTAAGTACACGTCCATCAGCGACTGGTAGGCCCTCCCGCCGCAGCAGGTCGTGCTCGGCGAATGTCCGGAAGCCCCGTGGCGGGCGAAGGCCAAGCATGCGTACGCCGTCTTGCGTAGGGACAACCAATCCATCTCCCTCGAAGAGAAAGCCCAGCCCCCTGGCGGTCTGACGAGCATCGAGGAACACGAAAGACCCTAGATTCGGACCAGGGGGCAGGTGCTCCGCTCTAAAATCGACGGCACAGATTTTGTCGTACAACAAGCCATGGTGCACAACGTCTGCTAATGGCTCAGTTGGGTGCCCGAAGCTAACATGTTGTACTTGGCGGTCCATATGGTCGGCAATGGCCTGCTGTAGATCATCGGTAAAGGTCCCGTAGAACGGGAAGCTGCACACTGTCTGTGGCATAATGACGAGCCAAGCTGAGGTTGGTCGCTCAAGTAGGATCTGGTCCGGTTCGCGCTGCCACGCTGACGGGCTGGCAAGAAGGACGGAGAGGTCTGCATCTCGTATGAGCGGCTCGTCTCTCGGCGAGATACAGATCACATCACCGCCTGCAAGATGGGCCTCGCTGCCTGCAGCAAGTGGCTCAAACTCGTTGGGCATGTAGGCGTGCCATAGCTCATCAGTACGCATAGCGACTGCTGTTTCCAGATCCCGATAAGTGAGTGGGTTGTGGAAAACGTGAGCATAGGTGGGGCCGCGTAACCTCGAGAAGTCGAGCAATACAACTTGGCGGCGGTCTTCGGGTACCCAGTCGGGCACGACAAGAAAACTGGCGTAGCCACATCCTGGCTGGGGCCTAGCAGGCAGCAGGTGTGCAGGGGACAGGCGCTGAACTAAAGCAGAAGCTGTAGCAACCTGAGCAGTGAGTGCAGTTTCGTCGACCTGGCTGGAGACGTTCAGAACAAGATGCTCCGTACGGTAACCTGCGGCGAAGACTAAACAATGCAACACGGGATCGTCAGGGCCACTGGCAGCAGCAGTAGTCAGAGATTTCAGGGGCAGGTGCGGCATGGGCATCTGAGCTAGCTGCAGGGTCAGCGGCGAGAGGCTCACCTGGACAAGCTGTAGCCCAGTGGCGCGTGAGTAGAGCACCAGCCTGATCTTCACCGGGCATCGCCCAAACCTGGTGGGGAAGTGAATAGAGGATGAGGGCGGTGTATAGACGCGCAAGCCAGCTAGGTGCTGTGGCGTGTCGTCTTACCTGCGGCCGTCGTGAGGCATGGGGGCGACCCGCAGTCCACACAATGGGAGGCTGCGTGCCGATTGATGCAGCAACTGCGATGGCAGACAACCATCCTGGCGCGTTGGGAGTGTGGTCCCTCCGGTGTGGGGCAGAGGCAAGCCTGCGGCCAAGAAGGGATCTATACCAAATCCAGATCAAAAACCCGAGGCAACCAACGGCTAGAGTCCGCCCACAGGCGGCAAGAACGCCTTCACACCAGGCCTCATCAAAGGAGCACAGCGTCGCCTGGGCACAGGCATGAAAGGCAGGGATGGCATTCGTCGAAATCCGGGCATAACGCAAACAAGTTACGGAAGATGCTGCGGGGTAGGCGGCTTCGGTGGCTAGAGCAAGGGAAGCTCCTAACCAAAGACCAGAAAACCTATAGCCATCGAGGAACCCAAAAACCGAAAGGTCAAGTTCTGGGCAGGCACTGCAGGGGGGGGCTACCGCGGTCAATGCCCCAGAGCCACCGATGCATTTGTTTGGCACCGGGTAGCCGCCCCCGTCACACACTGAGGGAGCCCGGGAAACCTCACAGAGGACGTCCGGGGATCCGGTATCATGAAACTGATCTGTGTCACAGCAGGCGACCTTCAAGCAGCATGCTTCGCTGGAATCCAGAGGAGAGGAACCGCGAAGCTGCAAGGTTGACGCGTGGTGACGAAAAAGTCGATCCTGGCAGGTTACCGCCCCAGAGCCACCGATGCGGTTATTAGGCACGCTGCACACAGGAGAAGGGCAGGTGAGGCTCACCCACTCCGATGCATCGGAGATGCAAGACAAAACTGGACCACGTCGGCTGGCGGAGGCAGGGGGCGTGGTGCGGCTGGGAGCACACCATGTCCAAGGGACAGGCAGACAACCTTGGGGTGAGGTAAATGCAAAATCGTCGCCACTCAGGAATGAGGGCAACTGCGGCAGGGCCCCAGAACCAAAGCGGTCAAGAAAACCGTTGGCTCCAAAGGCAGAGGAGGACGGGCCCGTCCAAAGCATGCCAACCTTCCAAGCCCAAGAAGGCAGCACCCCTTGGAGGGAGCCGGCAACGAAGGAAGAAAACAGCCACTTGCAGGAAGCAAAACCTGTACAGTGGAAGAATCCAGGGAGGCATGTACAACCTACACTACGACGGCTCAGTTCAGCCTGGGCTATGGCATGGGTGCTCGGCCTGACCCCACTGCATTGACCGGAGGAAACATGGTAACAGATGCAGCTACCAGGGGCCCAAAGACCCGGGTAGCCGCAACCGTACGGCGGCTCCTCAAGCCTACAGGTGGGGTGGCTAAACACCCTTTGCTCAGGAATAGTCATCCCATGCGTCCCAAACCAGGCGAAGCCGCCCGCTCGGCTGCACAAGGTGAGGAGAGGTCGAAGACCGGCACTGCCGGGGCTGCACCAGCGTGGGCCGGAGCCGGCGTCGGCGTAGCACCCTCGCTGTCCACAGCAGTAGATGCCAGTGCCGGGCCATAGGCTCCTAGAGCACTGGGCGCTGCCCCATCCGGAAATGGCATATGCATATTGGCAGCCAAAAGTTCCATAGCACGACGTTGCTCCAGCTTCTGGTCGAGAGAAAGACTTCCTGTCGGTGGGAGCGGTGCAGCAGGACGCTGCTTCACACTTTGCCGTCCCCTCCCTGAGGTAGAGGCATGCCTGGTTCTGCTGCCCGGGGAGGGCTCCGGCGTAGGAGCTGCCGCATGTTTGTGAACTCCAGGTGATTCGACATAGGGCCGCATCGTCTCCATGGGGCATGTCGGTAGGCATAGCAGTCAAGTGGGCAGTAGTACCACCACCATGCTGAGCAGCCAAAGCGGAGGCCCTGGGGTCGCTTGGCAACAGCCCAGGCGGAGCTGAGGAAGCCGGAGGCTCGCCAATACCCGCACTCAGAGAGCGTACAGCAGCCATGGCAGCAGCCAGGAAACCAGAGGCGGGGCGTTCCGGTGCCAGATTGCAAGCCTGCATCATCTGGTCCCAAGCCGCATCCTGGGGAGGTTCCGCAGCAGCCTTGGGCAGGGTACCATAGAGGGCAACCGCTTGCATCTTTTCGGCTGCTTCGCGACCAGTGGTGCTGGCTTGCTGAATCTCCGTTTCCAAGCGCTTCTGGTCCGCCTCGAAAGCGCGTTGCTGCTTGAGGAAGGCAACTTTCATGCCCCTTTCGTACGCAGCCCATTGCTGTTTCTTGTACTCTTTGTCCTCCTGCAGCTTGTATATGCGGGAGTCGGCTCGCTTCGCCTGCGTCAGGATCTTCTGGAGCTCCTTGCGGAAGTCCGAGGTCTCGTGCATGCCATCCATAGGGACATCTGTGGCAGCAGCGGCGGCTGTTCCGGGTGCGGGGCGCCGATCGTTGACAGCAACCTGGTCGTAGCGGGTCTCGGCACCAATCTGTGCCGCACGCTGAGAGCGCGGCGACACCGGCCACGAGCCACGCCAGTACTTGTACTTGTCGCCTTGCTGCTGGTACGAGTCTCGGCCGTAGGCAGGGTCTTGTCCGTGCTCTTTCCATTTCTGTCCACCTCGCTTGCGTCCGCCGCCCATGCGGAGCTCTGCAAACCTGGGGCGCGTATGGTGAGCAGCAAGCAGACGAAGGTCTCGGCGCCAGGGTGGGAGTCCCAAGTCGCGGCAGCGATGGACTCGACCACGGGCCCTGGAGCGTTTCCGACGGGCCGCCCGATGCCAAGTCGGGCTTCTCTCCGCCGTGGCGTGCTACAGCACTGGGGATTCGGCTATGCCTGTGCTACGGGCAGGCTCGATCCGAAACCCTCATAGGGGCCTTAATAATTAGAATGGGGTTTTTGGGGGTTTAGGATAAGGAACCCCCCAAAATAGTATTGGTAACTATTTAGGCCCCAAAGTATGCGCTTGTCTTCCCTTACTGGAAAGCTGTGAAGCCAGGAAAAGTCAGCGCCTGGGAAGGCACCGGGACGCTGTGGTCCAGGCCAGAAGTTTACGCAATTCTCTCTTTGTTCAATCCACACTCAGGTTTAGTGTTTAGGGTCTAGGGTATATTCCGAAGCCGTTGTCTCGCCGAGAATGTTCCTTCATTCACGGGTAGTGCGTTGTTTCGATGGTGATGCGATGGTTCGGTTGCTAGGGAGCCGCGTACCCTGTTTTCTGGACTTGCTGACGTAGCTGGCCTGTTCCCGAACAGCCAAATACCGGTGATGACATTACTAAGGTAAGCTCTACAACACTGTTACCCATCATGCTTGCGACGATTGGGCTCTCTGGGTATGCATGAGTTTCTAGATTCAGGGTGTTAGCAAGGAGAGAGGGGGTGCCAGAGATGAGTGTAAGACTGCCATGCGGCACAGAGGCTTCCAATCGTACTTAGGGCATGCAGGGTTACTGCAAGGGTTGAGGATTTAGGGTAGTTGGAAACTTTGGAAGGCTTTCGATTTCTTTAGAACCTCAGGAAAAAGGATGAAAAAGGCAGATGCCCAGTGCACCCTTACCCACGGTTCTTAGTCGCATCATCATGGACGCTTGAACCTCATTGACCCTCGAACTACCCTAAACCTTGAACCCTAAACCCTGGTGTTACTAATCTCAGGGCCAACTGAGCATGTTGAAGACTCCACCCTGCGCCTTCTGGGATTTCGGTTTGCCGGGCATTGTCTGAGAGGTCTTGCAGCAAACATTGGCGAACATGGGTTCTCCAACGTTCTCCAATTCAACGAATACGCTTGCGCTACGAGTTGTTAAGCATCTTTGAAGACTGATGGGCAGGAAGCCGCTGTGCACCAGCTGCTGGGGAGCCGTGTCGCAGGCCTGTCTGCCAGAGCTTAGCAGCGCTAATCATCGCCATCGTTTTGGTGACGCACGGCGACTAGAGCTGATACCCAGCTGCCAGCTTGGCAGTCTTCCTTCTCTCCTCGTCGCCAGTATGATGTCCTTGTCAGTGTTTGTTCCAGCCTCCTCTTCCTCCTCCTCCTCCTCCTCCTCCTCCACCTCTTTGCGATGGTCATCAGCATCAACATGAGAGCAGCATCAGCTTCAGCAGCATCATCAGCATCAGCATTATCCACATCATCATGCTTTCCAGTCGTCGCCACGATTCCCCACTGGTACCAGTCAGGGGAATATGTTTTTGCTTTGTCAAGATCCTGTATCCTGTCCTGCCATTACCAATGTGTGCACCTGCTGGTGCTCCGTTTGCTACCGCTATTGCCGTTCGTACTTGCAGTCCTGCTACATCCTACTAGTATTGCACGTACCACCCCTACTACTGTGTTTACTACGGGCAGGTTCTATGATTGCTACTTCCAGCCACTGCCACAGCTACTGCCGCGATTATTACGACTTGCGACATCCTACAACCGCGACCGCGGCTATGACGACGATTCAACTGTTGACTCCCACGACTGCGACCGCTGCCGCTGTCACAACCACCACCCGCCCGCCGCCGCCTGCCCTCACCATCACCACGACCCCGATAGTAGTACTTTGCAGGGAACCCGAAATGAGAATCTGACGCAGCTCGGTGCATCCCTCGTGCAGACACACTCTGCAACGTCGTAAGCCGCAGACCCAGACCCCAAAGCTGTAAGCCCCATCCTCCACCCTAGAATCCCCAGAACCTACATACACCGCAACTTTTCGCGAACCTTGGACAAAGTATCACACCTGCCCGCCCCCAGGTGAAAGCGATGTTTCCCAAGCTGGTGCTGACGGTGTCTGCCATGCTGGCATGGCTTTTGGGTTTTGAGGTTTGCAGTTCTAGCAGTATGGCGTCTAGGGTGTGGCATGTCCCGAATCCCGAAACCCAAAGCAAACGCTTCAAGGTTCAGGGTCCACAAGACGTGGTGTGCAGGGCTCCCAAACCCTAAGGCCCTAACCTTGAACTCTACTTTCAAAACTGGAGTCTAACCCCCGAAAGCTCTGAAATCCTTTACCCCAGAAGCCCAGAGCCTTCGGTGCGGAGGCACCGGTGAGGTTCGGGGACCCAAGCTGAATCTAGATCCCCTCAACCCGAAACCTCCTAGACCCCTAGATCCCCTAAACCGTCTTAAACCCCAAACCACCGAAAACCTTGAACTCCTAAGATCCACCAGAAACAAGTCCGCAACCTTGCGACATCAGTAGGACTCAACAAATGCAGACTCTGTACGATTGTAGTGCAGTCCTGTCTTTCAGAAAGAAGCATTTCAGTAGTAGTAGTACTAGTAGTAGTAGTAGTAGTAGTCGTCGTCGTAGTAGTAGTAGTAGTCGTCGTAGTAGTCGTCGTAGTAGTCGTGGTGGTGGCGGTGGTGGTCGTGGTTTATTCTTTCAGAGTAACCTCAAGCCCTAAACCCGCATGTACGCGCCAAAACAATCTGTGCTAGTTCCCCTTGTGTCACTAGATAATCAGAGGAAATATACTCCAAAACCCTCATCTATTTCTTAAGGCCCCTGTATTCTCGAACCTTACAGTGCCCTCATTGTAACCCTTATAGCCCTTCAAACGGAACCCGTAAAGGTTATGCACTGCAAACCCCTACAGCGGACCTCAACCACAAGACCCAGCCTTTACCCTAAACCCTGAAGGACCTAAGCCCTAAAGGACTTGAGCCCCAAATCCTAGAGGCCCCGAGCGCTAAAGGACCTAACCCCAAAGCCGGAAACCCCAAGGGCCCTGAATCCGAAACCCTGAAGGGTCAAGCCTCAGAAACCCTAAACCCCTGAAGACCCTAGGCCTTAAACCCTAAACCCCTGAAGGCCCTAGGCCCTAAACCCCAAACCCTAAACCCTAAACCCCACAGGGAATGAACAAGGGAATGAACCAGGGGATGACCAAAGGGATGACCAGGGCTTAAGCACCGAAGTTGATGGAGGGTCTGTTCGTGAGAGAGTCCACGCTGGAACTGGAACTGAAGGGGTTCATGAAGTTCCGAAGTGACAAATGTGGTGAAGTCAGTGGCAGTGGCATTGAGGAGTACTCTGGTGACGTCTGAGTTACCCAAAACCGCTTTCCCAATAGGGATTCTGCCTCTGCTTGGTGGAAAAAGGCGTTCAAAAAAAAAAAAAAAACCTGAAAAAAAAGCCCTGAAGGCCCTAGGCCCTAAACCCTACTAAGCCCTAACAAACCCCAAAAGGCCCAAAGGCCCTCCAGAAGCGACCAGGTCGGCTCCAAGAACTCGAAACCTTGGCCCGACAACATGTGCGGGCCTTTCCTGCCTTTAAGGGTTTGGGTTAGAATAGTGACTATAAGGATTATATTGGGGCCCTATTAGATTCCTATTATACCACTATTACAGGGTGGGGGCAGCTTCTAAGGTTTAGGGCTTGGGGGTGTAGGGTTTAGGGGTTTAGGGCTTTAAATTAGGGTGTAGGGCTTAGGGTTTAGCGGTAAGGGGTTTAGGGGCTTAGGGGTGTAGGGTTTAGGGTTCAGGATTCTTGTTGTTGGACCGGGTCTCCAGTGGTGGGGCTAATATGGCTTTAAAGTGGGACTCGTTGCGGCTTTGGCAGAGCCTGTTTTGGTGGTCTTGTCTTGGGTATGTCCGGGGTCTTGCCTTTTTTAGCGTTTCGTAAGGTTCTTCCGAGGTTTTCTGTATCGGGTTTCTTGCGGGTTTTCTTGTGCTTTATGTCCACAGGGCTTTCATAATCATAGGTTTTCTGGAACAAGTCTTTCCTCTCAGGGTCAATGGGCGCAATCGCTCGGAGTGAGCTAGTAGGGATGCTCTTATAGGGATGGTTTGCGCCGTTGCATGACCAGTGACCAGTGGTCTAGGATGTGGGGGTTTCGGGTTTAGGGTTCACTGTGTAATATAGGGGCCTTAATAATTACCTCTACTATGATTTGGGGCTCCTTATTCTAAATTTAGTATAATGGGCACCAAAAACCCTATTCTATTCATTTCAGGCCCCTACAGTCTAGTACCCTTGTAGATCCCTTATAGTAATCCTTATACAGAGCCCTTCAAAGAGAACCCTATTCTTCTAATTGAGGCCCCCTATATTATGCTGCTCATCTGAAAGAAGGCCTCGGCCCTTCATAATTACCTATACTATTTTTTGAGGCTCCTTATTCTAATATGGAAAACGGGCCCCAAAACCCTTCGAATTATTAAGGCCCCTATATCATGCTCCTCTGCCCTTCAGGCGCTATCCTCCGGATGCAGATGGCCCGGCGGAGGCCTTTCCGGGCATCCTTCGAGGGTTCCGAGCCCCAAAGCCCTAAAAAACCCTAAACCCTACTATAGGGGCCTTACCAATACTGTTTTAGGGGTTCCTTATTATAATTTACCAATACTGTTTTAGGGGTTCCTTATTATAATTAGAGTTTCTTTTTGGGCCCCAAACCCTAAACCCCAGGCCCCCTTAAAGCCTTTAAACCCCTAAGGCCCAAAAAACCCCAAAGCATCGACCTTGCTGCGCTCCTTCTCTCTGTCAGGCCTGGTGTGCATCTATGGATAGGGGTTAGGGTTTTAGGGTTTAGGGTATAGGGGTTTAGGGGTTTAGGGTTTAGGGTATAGGGTTTAGGGGTTTAGGGGATAGGGTTGAGGGTTTAGGGTTTAGGGTTCATCTATCAGTTTTATGATTCCCCACTCCCTGTATCTTCTGCTTCGCGCTTAGCCCTCGCTGCTCAAGCTTTCACAAGGCCTTCGGCACTCGCCCAACCCAGTTGGAAGACATGGTTTTGCCGATGAAGTCAGCGATGAAGTCCAAGGCCATGAAGACCGCCAAAGCCATGACCAAGTCCCAGCTTGCCGACCAGCTCGCCACGAAGTCCGAGCTCAAGAAGAAGGAAGTCATGTCGGTCCTGCAGAATCTTTCCGAAATCGGTGCCAGCGAGGTCACCAACACCGGCAAGCACCTTGTTAGCAGTTCAGGCGTTCGTGTTGGACCTGGAGTCACTCCCATTTTTGCCATCTGACGTCCTGCACATCCGAGGTTCGTTCTGCCAGGGCTCTGCATGATCAAGACTCGTGCCTGGGCTGATCCTCTCATGTCTTTGAGTGCAAGTGGTTGAGTAGGGGAACGCCCAGCCGGAGCTGCAAGGTCAGAAGCCTGCCACGAAAGGTGGCGTTCGCATGATGTTCGGCAAGGCCAGTAAGCGGTAACTGACGAGACTGATGAAGGCCGTCTAAGCTTTGATGTCTCTGCTGAAGGAGGTTCAGGTCAAGGCGCAGAAGGCGGGACCGCTGGCAGGCAGTGACTGCTGCGTCTTGCGACCGAAGTTGCCGTCAGGCGAAGACGGTTGTGAAAGCCACGCCGGCGGCTGCACTCAAGAGCCAGTTCTAGGGGGTGGCTTTGAGCTGCTGACTGCGGCGCTGCGGTTGGCTGCGTGCTCGTCGATGGGGTTCGACGGTGAGCACGCTCGCTTGCTGTGGAGCGCGAGATCTGTTCGTGCGCAATCAGACGCACGCCGTGTACCGTTACATGCTGAGTGAAAAGTTCTGTCGGCACAGGTTTCCTGAGGAGTCGCCATGCCCAGCGTCCAATGCTTTTGCATGTGTGTGTGTGTGTGTTTTGGTGTTCGGGTGTGCATATTTAACGAACGGATACCTGATATTTACATCCCACAGCCTATGCATGACAACGATTTGCTTGTGTGGGCGCTTGGCATTGGAGGCTTTTGCCGCCGAAGCACAAGAACTGGCCCACAGATATGCTTCAACTTTAGCTTGCAACGCGACAGGCTACAGTGGCTTTTTCGCGCCTGTAGGCATTGATAACGAGTGACGATCCACTTGCTGCTGCTCGCGCTTAGCCCTCGCTGCTCAAGCTTTCACAAGGCCTTCGGCACTCGCCCAACCCAGTTGGAAGACATGGCTCCCGCGATGAAGTCCAAGGCCATGAAGACCGCCAAAGCCATGACCAAGTCCCAGCTTGCCGACCAGCTCGCCACGAAGTCCGAGCTCAAGAAGAAGGAAGTCATGTCGGTCCTGCAGAATCTTTCCGAAATCGGTGCCAGCGAGGTCACCAACACCGGCAAGCACCTTGTTAGCAGTTCAGGCATTCGTGTTGGACCTGGAGTCACTCCCATTTTTGCCATCTGATGTCCTGCACATCCGAGGTTCGTTCTGCCAGGGCTCTGCATGATCAAGACTCGTGCCTGGGCTGATCCTCTCATGTCTTTGAGTGCAAGTGGTTGAGTAGGGGAACGCATGGCAGCCGGAGCTGCAAGGTCAGAAGCCTGCCACGAAGGGTGGCGTTCGCATGATGTTCGGCAAGGCCAGTAAGCGAGAACTGACGAGACTGATGAAGGCTGTCTAAGCTGTGATGTCTCTGCTGAAGGAGGTTCAGGTCAAGGCGCAGAAGGCGGGACCGCTGGCAGGCAGTGACTGCTGCGTCTTGCGACCGAAGTTGCCGTCAGGCGAAGACGGTTGTGAAAGCCACGCCGGCGGCTGCACTCAAGAGCCAGTTCTAGGGGGTGGCTTTGAGCTGCTGACTGCGGCGCTGCGGTTGGCTGCGTGCTCGTCGATGGGGTTCGACGGTGAGCACGCTCGCTTGCTGTGGAGCGCGAGATCTGTTCGTGCGCAATCAGACGCACGCCGTGTACCGTTACATGCTGAGTGAAAAGTTCTGTCGGCACAGGTTTCCTGAGGTCGCCATGCCCAGCGTCCAATGCTTTTGCAGGTGTGTGTGTGTGTGTGTGTTTGTGTGTTCGGATGTGCATATTTAACGAACGGATACCTGATATTTACATCCCACAGCCTATGCATGACAACGATTTGCTTGTGTGGGCGCTTGGCATTGGAGGCTTTTGCCGCCGAAGCAGAAGAACTGGTCCACAGAGATGCTTCAACTTTAACTTGCAACGCGACAGGCTGCAGTGGCTTTTTCGCGCCTGTAGGCATTGATAACGAGTGACGATCCAGTTGCTGCTGCTCGCGCTTAGCCCTCGCTGCTCAAGCTTTCACAAGGCCTTCGGCACTCGCCCAACCCAGTTGGAAGACATGGCTCCCGCGATGAAGTCCGCGATGAAGTCCAAGGCCATGAAGACCGCCAAAGCCATGACCAAGTCCCAGCTTGCCGACCAGCTCGCCACGAAGTCCGAGCTCAAGAAGAAGGAAGTCATGTCGGTCCTGCAGAATCTTTCCGAAATCGGTGCCAGCGAGGTCACCAACACCGGCAAGCACCTTGTTAGCAGTTCAGGCATTCGTGTTGGACCTGGAGTCACTCCCATTTTTGCCATCTGATGTCCTGCACATCCGAGGTTCGTTCTGCCAGGGCTCTGCATGATCAAGACTCGTGCCTGGGCTGATCCTCTCATGTCTTTGAGTGCAAGTGGTTGAGTAGGGGAACGCCTGGCAGCCGGAGCTGCAAGGTCAGAAGCCTGCCACGAAGGGTGGCGTTCGCATGATGTTCGGCAAGGCCAGTAAGCGAGAACTGACGAGACTGATGAAGGCTGTCTAAGCTGTGATGTCTCTGCTGCAGGAGGTTCAGGTCAAGGCGCAGAAGGCGGGACCGCTGGCAGGCAGTGACTGCTGCGTCTTGCGACCGAAGTTGCCGTCAGGCGAAGACGGTTGTGAAAGCCACGCCGGCGGCTGCACTCAAGAGCCAGTTCTAGGGGGTGGCTTTGAGCTGCTGACTGCGGCGCTGCGGTTGGCTGCGTGCTCGTCGATGGGGTTCGACGGTGAGCACGCTCGCTTGCTGTGGAGCACGAGATCTGTTCGTGCGCAATCAGACGCACGCCGTGTACCGTTACATGCTGAGTGAAAAGTTCTGTCGGCACAGGTTTCCTGAGGAGTCGCCATGCCCAGCGTCCAATGCTTTTGCAGGTGTGTGTGTGTGTGTGTGTTTTTGTGTGTTCGGATGTGCATATTTAACGAACGGATACCTGATATTTACATCCCACAGCCTATGCATGACAACGATTTGCTTGTGTGGGCGCTTGGCATTGGAGGCTTTTGCCGCCGAAGCAGAAGAACTGGTCCACAGATATGCTTCAACTTTAACTTGCAACGCGACAGGCTACAGTGGCTTTTTCGCGCCTGTAGGCATTGATAACGAGTGACGATCCAGTTGCTGCTGCTCGCGCTTAGCCCTCGCTGCTCAAGCTTTCACAAGGCCTTCGGCACTCGCCCAACCCAGTTGGAAGACATGGCTCCCGCGATGAAGTCCGCGATGAAGTCCAAGGCCATGAAGACCGCCAAAGCCATGACCAAGTCCCAGCTTGCCGACCAGCTCGCCACGAAGTCCGAGCTCAAGAAGAAGGAAGTCATGTCGGTCCTGCAGAATCTTTCCGAAATCGGTGCCAGCGAGGTCACCAACACCGGCAAGCACCTTGTTAGCAGTTCAGGCATTCGTGTTGGACCTGGAGTCACTCCCATTTTTGCCATCTGATGTCCTGCACATCCGAGGTTCGTTCTGCCAGGGCTCTGCATGATCAAGACTCGTGCCTGGGCTGATCCTCTCATGTCTTTGAGTGCAAGTGGTTGAGTAGGGGAACGCCTGGCAGCCGGAGCTGCAAGGTCAGAAGCCTGCCACGAAGGGTGGCGTTCGCATGATGTTCGGCAAGGCCAGTAAGCGAGAACTGACGAGACTGATGAAGGCCGTCTAAGCTGTGATGTCTCTGCTGCAGGAGGTTCAGGTCAAGGCGCAGAAGGCGGGACCGCTGGCAGGCAGTGACTGCTGCGTCTTGCGACCGAAGTTGCCGTCAGGCGAAGACGGTTGTGAAAGCCACGCCGGCGGCTGCACTCAAGAGCCAGTTCTAGGGGGTGGCTTTGAGCTGCTGACTGCGGCGCTGCGGTTGGCTGCGTGCTCGTCGATGGGGTTCGACGGTGAGCACGCTCGCTTGCTGTGGAGCACGAGATCTGTTCGTGCGCAATCAGACGCACGCCGTGTACCGTTACATGCTGAGTGAAAAGTTCTGTCGGCACAGGTTTCCTGAGGAGTCGCCATGCCCAGCGTCCAATGCTTTTGCAGTGTGTGTGTGTGTGTGTGTGTGTTTGTGTGTTCGGATGTGCATATTTAACGAACGGATACCTGATATTTACATCCCACAGCCTATGCATGACAACGATTTGCTTGTGTGGGCGCTTGGCATTGGAGGCTTTTGCCGCCGAAGCAGAAGAACTGGTCCACAGATATGCTTCAACTTTAACTTGCAGCGCGACAGGCTACGGTGGCTTCTTCGCGCCTGTAGGCATTGATAACGAGTGACGATCCAGTTGCTGCTGGTCGCGCTTAGCCCTCGCTGCTCAAGCTTTCACAAGGCCTTCGGCACTCGCCCAACCCAGTTGGAAGACATGGCTCCCGCGATGAAGTCCGCGATGAAGTCCAAGGCCATGAAGACCGCCAACAAAGCCATGACCAAGTCCCAGCTTGCCGACCAGCTCGCCACGAAGTCCGAGCTCAAGAAGAAGGAAGTCATGTCGGTCCTGCAGAATCTTTCCGAAATCGGTGCCAGCGAGGTCACCAACACCGGCAAGCACCTTGTTAGCAGTTCAGGCATTCGTGTTGGACCTGGAGTCACTCCCATTTTTGCCATCTGATGTCCTGCACATCCGAGGTTCGTTCTGCCAGGGCTCTGCATGATCAAGACTCGTGCCTGGGCTGATCCTCTCATGTCTTTGAGTGCAAGTGGTTGAGTAGGGGAACGCCTGGCAGCCGGAGCTGCAAGGTCAGAAGCCTGCCACGAAGGGTGGCGTTCGCATGATGTTCGGCAAGGCCAGTAAGCGAGAACTGACGAGACTGATGAAGGCTGTCTAAGCTGTGATGTCTCTGCTGCAGGAGGTTCAGGTCAAGGCGCAGAAGGCGGGACCGCTGGCAGGCAGTGACTGCTGCGTCTTGCAACCGAAGTTGCCGTCAGGCGAAGACGGTTGTGAAAGCCACGCCGGCAGCTGCACTCAAGAGCCAGTTCTAGGGGGTGGCTTTGAGCTGCTGACTGCGGCGCTGCGGTTGGCTGCGTGCTCGTCGATGGGGTTCGACGGTGAGCACGCTCGCTTGCTGTGGAGCGCGAGATCTGTTCGTGCGCAATCAGACGCACGCCGTGTACCGTTACATGCTGAGTGAAAAGTTCTGTCGGCACAGGTTTCCCGAGGAGTCGCCATGCCCAGCGTCCAATGCTTTTGCATGTGTGTGTGTGTGTGTTTTGGAGTTCGGGTGTGCATATTTAACGAACGGATACCTGATATTTACTTCCCACAGCCTACGCATGACAACGATTTGCTTGTGTGGGCGCTTGGCATTGGAGGTTTTTGCCGCCGAAGCACAAGAACTGGCCCACAGATATGCTTCAACTTTAACTTGCAACGCGACAGGCTACAGTGGCTCTTTCGCGCCTGTAGGCATTGATAACGAGTGACGATCCAGTTGCTGCTGCTCGCGCTTAGCCCTCGCTGCTCAAGCTTTCACAAGGCCTTCGGCACTCGCCCAACCCAGTTGGAAGACATGGCTCCCGCGATGAACCCCCGGTTGCACAACTTCGGATGCTTCTTGCCAATGAGGCCACCCAGAGAAGACTAGAATCTGCAAAAAATCTTCAGCAGCAGCTGGACATTGTTTGTGGCGCCGCTTTCAAAGCCAAGTTAGGTTGGCAAAAGTCAGATGCGACTGTGTCTAGTGTCTCGAAAGAGTCGCTGCCAAGCATCCCCCACATTTCCACTTGGAGACTGCTTGCCAAAGATTTCAAGCAAGTTCAGCCTGCTAAGGAATCGAATGAGTTTCATGTTCTGAAACCTGAAGGCCGGGTTGATGCATTGCGTGCAGAATGTGCCGGAGATCACGTTACCCAAATGTGGTCTCGAACACCTGGTGCATACCTTGTGGATGATGCTGTTGCAGTACAGGTTATGAAAACCATCCCAACACATGCTCCACCTCCGGGTTTGTTTTCTTTGCTTAGCACTGCTCCTACCTCACGCAGCGATGCATCGCCTATTGAGGCTGTGGTTCTACATCCTGACGACTCCGTGCATCTTGCCAAATTGTATGTCACGAACCTCGGTGTTGATCGTCTTGTCAAGGTCGATCCGAATGCTGTTCAGCTTATCAGTGTTGAGACTGTTGAGGTATTGATTGAGTGGTGGTCTGATCTGTGTGAAGGAACACAGGCGTCAGCTTTTGAGCAGTGCAGCGCTGAATTGAACGCCACAGGCAAGCATCGCTCATCAGGTAAAGGTAGCAGCTCTGAATTGAACGCTACAGGCAAGCATCGCTCATCAGGTAAAGGTTGCGGCTCTGAATTGAGCGCTAAAGGTAAGCATCCCTCATCAGGTAAAGGTGGCAAGATGTATAACGTGGGACTTATCACCCGCACACTCGTCTCCATGCTTGAGGCTGGAGGCTCCGGTAGCTTCGAGTCAAAGTGGCATCAACATCAAGTTTTTCCGGAGGTCATCAGGGCACGTGCCCGAGTGTCAGAGACGATCGCCACCAAATGGATAAAGCAGGGCACTGGACAACTTGCCCTCACCTGCCGAGAAGTTCATGACTTCGCTGAGATTTCGGATCTTAGAAGGATTTGGATTCCTGCACATTCGGAAGTCTTGCAACATGCGCCCGCAAAAATTCCTCGTGGTCTGACTCTTGCCTTGGCGGGATGTGGGTGTACGTTTGCATTGCTGCGTGCTCCGCAGCGTTGGGGGGTTCGCGTGCCATCGAGTGCTGAGGAGAAGGTTAAAGCCATTCTTAAGCCTAACTCCGTGTATGTGCCTCCCAACCATCGGCAATACGCAATCCACAACGTGCCCAGACATCTGGATCCAGAATGCATTGTCAAAACCATTGCGATTGAGCAGTTCAAGCCCTTTGTCGTAGCCTGCTTCAGAAACGGTAGTACAAAGCGCGTGGTCATTGCTGCTGCCAATCCTCCGCCTGACATTGTTTTTCTGGTTCAGGATGAACGAGGACAAAGCACCACATTGCTACTTGAACAGCTTGCTGAGAAGCACCCAGCCCAAGCTCGCAACCCCAGTCAGAAATCTTCAGGTTGATGGAAGTCCCAAACGCAAGGCTCGGAAGGAAACATCTGAGCCCGACACGACGGGAGGCGCTTTTGCCGATGCAAATCCTTTCAGCTTACTGAGTGAAGATGCTGATCAGGAGTTCCCGCCACTTGTGTTTCCAAGGTCTGCTGCTGCACGCGCTCAGATTGCAGGCGCATGCTCGTCTGACATATGGCGTGGAGTACCCTCTTCACCCTCCCCTGAAGCATTGTTTCTAAAAAACAAAGGAAATACCTGCTATGCTGCTGCGGCCTGTAACATCATTCGGCAAGTTGTCAGTATGCCAACGGACATAAGGCTGAAGTTTGAAGCATTGGTGAACCTCGTTACTGCTGCCCCTGCTGATGCTTCCTTCGCTCAGTTGATGCTTGCCGACACTGCTCATGTTGCCGCGGAGGTGTGGGACCATTTCTGCGTTATCTCGGGCTTGGGAGGTCCGCATGCTGCTCAGGAGGATGTTGCTTTATACATCACCGATCTGCAACAGCGCTTTGATTTCCTCGCGGAAGCCTTTCAGGTTGGAATCTCCACACACACATGTTGTTTGGGTTGCGAGAATCCGGATGTGGTGCGCGATGCTGATGGGCTTTGCCGTATTTCGGCTAGTGCTGGGCTGAATCTAGTTGACAGTCTGACTGTTGGTCAGGTGGGAGCCTTGCTCGAGAGGCAGTGTCAATGCTATGCTGAAAACTGCGAGATCACACACGTTTCTGTTCAGCCCGCGTCTTTTCTGCTTGTGCAGTGCAAGCGCGTTACCTCACAACATTGCAAATGTCAACAACCTGTTGAGGTGCCGCCCCGCATAATGCTTGATGGACGCGAATTTGGATGCCGCTCTATTGTTGTCCATCTAGGCTCTACGCCTCAACAAGGTCATTACGTTGTGGTTAGTTGTGAAGCCTCCTCGGGGCATGCTGCTTTTGTCATCAATGACGATGCTCGCACACCGCTTTGCCCTGCGATAATGGATTGCCTTTCCACGAATTGGGTTTTAGCGCTTTATGCTGAGACTGGCATGTGTGCATCGATACCTGCTGCTTGTGAGTGATTTGAGCGCTGTGGCAACAGTAGGAAGTGCACTCGAACCCACCATGCCTGAAACGCAAGTGCATTCCACAGTGTTGGATCCGCTTCCTGACGTGACGCCTGACACAACCCAGAATTTCTTTGATGTTGCTGTTGGTGAGTCATTGCCCAATGATCCACGCACGCGTGCACTGCCTGCACCTTGCAATTGTGAAGGTTCTCCGCTGCCGGCTGTTCTGCCTGTTGCACTCCATGACAATACAGACGATGGGACATCACTTGCTCTTTTGCAAATGCTAAAGGACAGAGTCGCTGCTTTGGAGGATGCTGTATCGGAACTCCAGAAACGTTGCACATGCGGTAAGAACAACATGCCTTTGGTAGGTTCTGAGGTCTGTTCTGAGGTCAATCCTGCCCCTCAAGTCCAGAATACTCGGTCGTATCATGCGGTGTTAGCGGATAAGTTGTTCACGCCTGCCCTGACCAAAGATCCGAAGCCTGCTGAGCGTCTTCCACTGCCGAAGAGCTCTCAGCCTTGTGTAGAGAAGCAGCATCAAGCTCCAGGTCAGTTCCCGAGGTCTACCAATCCACAAGTCGCCGAAATCATGTCTTGTTTGGAAGCCTCAGGCCGAAATGACGTATGTTTGAGAGGATGCACGCAGATGCTTTACTGTGCCCTCTGGTGTCGCTTGCTTCTGATGTTCCTCGCTGGAAAAAACTTGGTGAAGTGCTTGCTTTCAGTAAGCGGGAAGTTGAGGGTCGGTTGGCCTCGAACTTTTTGGAGGATGCTGCTCTACAATGGGTCGTCATGCGTTTGCTGGGCAGGGGTCGGTACAATCGCTTTGCATCTTTGCGTGGTAGTCAAGACTGGGAGTTGTTACGAGCACATTTGTGCAAAGTGGAGCTCCCATCTTGGTGGAAACAGCCGTGCGGATCAATCGTGCGAGCGAGGCCGTAGGCCGTTGTTGCCACATGAGTGGCAGCGCAAATCATGCTCTGAAAGACAGGCTCCTAAGGGTAAGTACTCTGTGTATCGACCTTTGCCTGAGCTCCAAACGAAGCCAGATCGCTCCCGCTCGCCTGTCGCGAGACACGTTGCTGCTCCGGCTACTCAGGTACAGCATCCGTCGGAAGATGGCAACGCCATGAATATGGTTGAAAATCATCAGTCTTCCTCGCCGTCCTTGCCTCAGCCCAGTGTTGCATGCCTTGATGTTGATTCGGCCCCTGAACCTATGAAGCCCCAACCCCGGCGTAGGCGATGCAAGCGGAACAGTAAGCAGGCTCCTGATCTGAAAGGAGGCGCTGGCAAGCATGATTCAAAATCCGCTTTTCGTGTTATGGTTGCCAATGTCACATCGCTTTTCTCGCGAGTTGCTGCAGTTTGCGCTGTGGCTTTTAGCATCGCTTTCTTGAGTGAGACTGCGCTTACGCCTCATGGACAGCAATTGCTGACAAGACAACTCCAAAAGGATGGTAGGTGTGCCGTGTGGAGTAACGCAGTTGACGGTAAGGGTGTGACGTCGTCCTGTGGTGTCGCGATCATCGGGGCTCCTGGGGTTCGGCTTCAAGCCCTTCAGGTGCCTGACACTTTTGAAGCAGCCTGGACGCATGGTCGCGTAGTAGCTGGAACCGCATCGGTCTCCACAAAGGCTGGTTTGGACTCTGTGACGTGTGTCTCATGTTATGCCCATGTCACGGATGAGAGTGCCAGAGAGTCTCTCCTCACTGATGTTGTTGAGTGGATTCTTTCTCTGAAGGGCCATGTTTTATTTGGTGGTGACATGAACACGGAGTTGTATGAGTCGCCGGCTTTGATTTTCCTCCTGCAGCGGGGCTATCGCACGGTGAACAGCAAAGGAGCTGTCACTTGTGCGGCCCCAAGTTCCTCGCGAGGTTCTGTGATTGATCACCTCCTGGTGTCGCCTTCTTTGTGGCCAGCGCTGCAATCTAATGAGGTGTTGTCGGAAGCACCTTGGCCAACTCATAAGCCTATCTTCGCAGAGTTCGATGCTACAGCGGTCATTGACACTTGGCAAACACTTTTGCCGCCCCTTCCATTCCCCTTGCAGGGATGTGTTCCTACCGCTGATGCACATGATGTCTATCAGCAGGAGTTTCGGGCGATAAGCTCCTTGACAAAGGAGGGTCAACATTGTGCTGCGTATGATGCTTGGACGGAGCTCGCGGAGCGAGAGCTCATGCACCAGTGTCGGCGGAATGCTAAGGATGTTAATCGCAAGCATTTTGGTAGGGCCGTTCCACCCAAGCTTAGGCAGTGTCAGCTTAAAGGCTCAGGTGGAAACATGCATCATGACGCATGCGATAGAAGGCTGGAGAAGGTGAGATCTGGACTCGGCGAGTTGTGCACGCGGTGGGATGTTTGCCAGCGTGAGAATACGCAACATGCGCTGTGGGCAAATGCGCGGCGCCGCATTTTGCTTGTTGATGCTTCGATTGGGGAGCTGCCTGTTGATTTACCGGCAAGGGATGTCGTGTATCATTGGTTGATCTGGGTGCGGGCTGAAATTGAGCGCCGCAATAAGAAGCACAGGTATCATGCTGTTCATGATTGGCGTGAGCGCCTTAAATTCTCACAGGCTGATCGGTTCATTTGGGCCAAAGCCAAACACGCTAATTGGCAATCGATTCCTGACACTCAGTCTTGTTTCAAACGTATCGAAACGCACTGGCATCCGATTCTTCGTAAGTCCGCTGATGAGTGCCCTGCTGATGGCAGGTGCAAAGGCGCACTGATGCCGAGATTCGACCTGGAAAATCTTGCATCGCTTGATTTGTTGAGCATGACTGGGTCACAACTCCGTGGTGCGGTGCAGCAAACGCCTGTTCGTTCAGCGTGCGGTGCGGATGGATGGCGACGCTCTGAACTTTTGGCCTTGCCGCTGCCTTTCTGGGATTGTTTGGCTTCTGTGCTTAACGGTATGGCGAGCTCTGGGGGGTGGCATCCGTGCCTTTTGTACCGTTGTCACCACACTGATTCCCAAGCGAGTGGAGGCTGACATGGTGTCGGATCCGGGCAATCTTCGCCCGATTTCGGTTGCTTCCCTTGTGTATAGGGCGTGGGGCCGAGTAATTGCCAAGCGCATCCATGCCCTGCTTGAAGTGTCACTCCCGTCATGCGCGCATGGCTTCAGGAAAGGGGAATCTGCTCAATCTACCTTGGCTTGGGTGTTTCTGAAATGCCAAAACTCTGTGTTGGCTCAGCGGCCCTTGCATGTCCTGAGCTATGACGTCAGCAAATGTTTTGACAGCCTTCCTTGGGATGCGGCTCAAGCTCTCCATAATCACTGGCATTCGCTCAGACGGATTTGGAAACTCCAAGGCCGCTATCATGATGCAACCTTTGATGCAAGTAATGGCTTGTTTCAGGGCGACCCCACGGCGCCGGCGGGCCTCGCTGCGTTCCTTGTTGAGCCGATGTTGCATATTGCACAAGCTTGGCCCATGGTGCGAGCTTCGCAGTACGCTGATGACATTTTGTTGATGTCTGAAGATGCCAGCAGCTTGGCAGCAGCCAACAAATACTTGGAAGGGTGGATGCACAAGCATAGAGTGCAGTTCAATGTTGGCTTCTGCACGGATACTCAGGCCGCTACTTCCGACTTTCAGGTTGGGGGGAAAACACTTGAATGCGCCAGTCTTCTGGAAAATCTGGGTGGCCGGTTCCAATTAGACTCGGAGGGCCTGCCGGTTGCGGATGAGCAGCATCAAACCGGAGTTTATGAGCGTTTCACCGAAGTTGCTCAGCGTTTGGGGCGGCTCTCGGTTGGCTGGGACGTTCGCTCTGCGGACGTGAAGGCTATCATGCCTATGCTTACGTACTCAGCTTTGTTATGGAACCCCGCGGACTTTTCTGATGCTCGCAAACAACGACTGATGGTCAATGTGTTATCGGGTGGCAAAGAGAACACGCGTAGGTGCGTGGAGGTATCCCTTGCGGTGCTTAGTCCGGTTCATCGCACCTGCATTCCTGCTGCGTTGCTTCGTGAACAAATGCTGGTTCTTGGACGCCTCATCAATGTTAACGCTGACTTTCGGCAAGAGGTGCAGAAACATTTTCGTCTGTGTAGTGCCATGGAAGTCGCCCCCTCGGGTTCCTTCTATGCGAGCTTTCGGGCGTCGCTCCAGGAATACGGCTGGGATTGGTTGAAGTGGCATACCATTAGAAGCCGTGATGGTGTTGAGCACTTGTTAGCTGGGGTCACATTGGAAGCTAGAAGAGCTCAGGTGTGTGCTGATTTGTGCCGCGCCACTCAAGCTGATGATCTCACGCGGTTAGTTGAGGAAATGGCCCAGAGCCATCGAAGCATGTGCCATTGGTCTTTGCTGTTGCACTCTCTTCGTGAGGACATGCGACAATACATGTGTGCAAATGCGGCTCGCAGGAGGCGGGACATGAAAGGTTTGCAAGAAGTGGACCGCGAAGCGCTGCGGGCCCTCTGGAAGAAAGTACCTGAAACTGATCATCCAACCCTGCGTTTTCTGATGCAAGGCGCAGCGATGACGGCTGATCGGGAGCACCGTGGTACCAAGGGACGGGTTTCTTCCATTTGCAGCCACTGTGAAATGGGGGTAGTTGAAGATGAAACTCATCGTTATTGGCAGTGCCCCGGCTGGACGGAGATTCGGCATGAACACTTGGGTGATGCATCCGATGAGTTGTGTGCTTCGCTCAGTCAGTTGCCGAGTGCCGCGTCCGTGTGCGCCCTCCCTGTGAAGCAACTTTCGTCCGGTGTTCGTGTTATGTGGCCCGAAATCTGCTCCTGCATGATCGCCATTCACCGGAGAGCGACAGCTGCTCATGCAAGTTCTGTGTGACTGAAAGCTGGCTGCGCTTACTGCGCGTGCAATTCACCGTCATGTCACGGTGGTGTTATGCTTGGCTTTGCGTGTTGCTGCCTGTGCTTTTGGGCCTGATCCGTGGAACTGGCATGCATGTTTCACGCTGTTGTACAGTGCGCCAGGTCTCCTTTTCAAGTAGGCTTGGCCTGCAATGCGAGTGATCTCGCGTGCCTGGGTGCATTTTTGTAAGTGGTGTTTCCTTTTGTTCCTGTGGGCTTAGACGTCTTGTCTTCAGCCCCGCGCATCTCGAAGTTTGCCCTACAGGGTATGCTGACCTATGTGTGGAGCTTCACATTGCTCCCTGAGGTTTGCGATCTGCGGTTGTTGACTTCAGTCGTTCCATGGGCATTGATGTTTGATCTTTGCCGCATGCCTGTTCAGTTTGCACTACGCAGGGTTTGCTGATCTATGTGTGGAGCCCAAGGTGTCCCTGAGCTCGTCTGGGAAATGTTTTAGATAAGTTGCCGTCAGGCTTGTGAAAGCCACGCCGGCAGCTGCACTCAAGAGCCAGTTCTAGGGGGTGGCTTTGAGCTGCTGACTGCGGCGCTGCGGTTGGCTGCGTGCTCGTCGATGGGGTTCGACGGTGAGCACGCTCGCTTGCTGTGGAGCGCGAGATCTGTTCGTGCGCAATCAGACGCACGCCGTGTACCGTTACATGCTGACTGAAAAGTTCTGTCGGCACAGGTTTCCCGAGGAGTCGCCGAGCCCAGCGTCCAATGCTTTTGCATGTGTGTGTGTGTGTGTGTGTGTGTGTGTTTTGGAGTTCGGGTGTGCATATTTAACGAACGGATACCTGATATGTACTTCCCACAGCCTACGCATGACAACGATTTGCTTGTGTGGGCGCTTGGCATTGGAGGCTTTTGCCGCCGTGCCGAAGCACAAGAACTGGCCCACAGATATGCTTCAACTTTAACTTGCAACGCGACAGGCTACAGTGGCTCTTTCGCGCCTGTAGGCATTGATAACGAGTGACGATCCAGTTGCTGCTGCTCGCGCTTAGCCCTCGCTGCTCAAGCTTTCACAAGGCCTTCGGCACTCGCCCAACCCAGTTGGAAGACATGGCTCCCGCGATGAAGTCCGCGATGAAGTCCAAGGCCATGAAGACCGCCAACAAAGCCATGACCAAGTCCCAGCTTGCCGACCAGCTCGCCACGAAGTCCGAGCTCAAGAAGAAGGAAGTCATGTCGGTCCTGCAGAATCTTTCCGAAATCGGTGCCAGCGAGGTCACCAACACCGGCAAGCACCTTGTTAGCAGTTCAGGCATTCGTGTTGGACCTGGAGTCACTCCCATTTTTGCCATCTGATGTCCTGCACATCCGAGGTTCGTTCTGCCAGGGCTCTGCATGATCAAGACTCGTGCCTGGGCTGATCCTCTCATGTCTTTGAGTGCAAGTGGTTGAGTAGGGGAACGCATGGCAGCCGGACCTGCAAGGTCAGAAGCCTGCCACGAAGGGTGGCGTTCGCATGATGTTCGGCAAGGCCAGTAAGCGAGAACTGACGAGACTGATGAAGGCCGTCTAAGCTGTGATGTCTCTGCTGCAGGAGGTTCAGGTCAAGGCGCAGAAGGCGGGACCGCTGGCAGGCAGTGACTGCTGCGTCTTGCAACCGAAGTTGCCGTCAGGCGAAGACGGTTGTGAAAGCCACGCCGGCAGCTGCACTCAAGAGCCAGTTCTAGGGGGTGGCTTTGAGCTGCTGACTGCGGCGCTGCGGTTGGCTGCGTGCTCGTCGATGGGGTTCGACGGTGAGCACGCTCGCTTGCTGTGGAGCACGAGATCTGTTCGTGCGCAATAAGACGCACGCCGTGTACCGTTACATGCTGAGTGAAAAGTTCTGTCGAAACAGGTTTCCTGAGGAGTCGCCATGCCCAGCGTCCAATGCTTTTGCAGGTGTGTGTGTGTGTGTGTGTGTGTTTGTGTGTTCGGATGTGCATATTTAACGAACGGATACCTGATATGTACTTCCCACAGCCTACGCATGACAACGATTTGCTTGTGTGGGCGCTTGGCATTGGAGGCTTTTGCCGCCGTGCCGAAGCACAAGAACTGGCCCACAGATATGCTTCAACTTTAACTTGCAACGCGACAGGCTACAGTGGCTCTTTCGCGCCTGTAGGCATTGATAACTAACGAGTGACGATCCAGTTGCTGCTGCTCGCGCTTAGCCCTCGCTGCTCAAGCTTTCACAAGGCCTTCGGCACTCGCCCAACCCAGTTGGAAGACATGGCTCCCGCGATGAAGTCAGCGATGAAGTCCAAGGCCATGAAGACCGCCAAAGCCATGACCAAGTCCCAGCTTGCCGACCAGCTCGCCACGAAGTCCGAGCTCAAGAAGAAGGAAGTCATGTCGGTCCTGCAGAATCTTTCCGAAATCGGTGCCAGCGAGGTCACCAACACCGGCAAGCACCTTGTTAGCAGTTCAGGCATTCGTGTTGGACCTGGAGTCACTCCCATTTTTGCCATCTGACGTCCTGCACATCCGAGGTTCGTTCTGCCAGGGCTCTGCATGATCAAGACTCGTGCCTGGGCTGATCCTCTCATGTCTTTGAGTGCAAGTGGTTGAGTAGGGGAACGCATGGCAGCCGGAGCTGCAAGGTCAGAAGCCTGCCACGAAGGGTGGCGTTCGCATGATGTTCGGCAAGGCCAGTAAGCGGTAACTGACGAGACTGATGAAGGCCGTCTAAGCTGTGATGTCTCTGCTGAAGGAGGTTCAGGTCAAGGCGCAGAAGGCGGGATCGCTGGCAGGCAGTGACTGCTGCGTCTTGCGACCGAAGTTGCCGTCAGGCGAAGACGGTTGTGAAAGCCACGCCGGCGGCTGCACTCAAGAGCCAGTTCTAGGGGGTGGCTTTGAGCTGCTGACTGCGGCGCTGCGGTTGGCTGCGTGCTCGTCGATGGGGTTCGACGGTGAGCACGCTCGCTTGCTGTGGAGCGCGAGATCTGTTCGTGCGCAATCAGACGCACGCCGTGTACCGTTACATGCTGAGTGAAAAGTTCTGTCGGCACAGGTTTCCCGAGGAGTCGCCATGCCCAGCGTCCAATGCTTTTGCAGGTGTGTGTGTGTGTGTGTGTGTGTTTTTGTGTGTTCGGATGTGCATATTTAACGAACGGATACCTGATATTTACATCCCACAGCCTATGCATGACAACGATTTGCTTGTGTGGGCGCTTGGCATTGGAGGCTTTTGCCGCCGAAGCACAAGAACTGGCCCACAGATATGCTTCAACTTTAGCTTGCAACGCGACAGGCTACAGTGGCTTTTTCGCGCCTGTAGGCATTGATAACGAGTGACGATCCAGTTGCTGCTGCTCGCGCTTAGCCCTCGCTGCTCAAGCTTTCACAAGGCCTTCGGCACTCGCCCAACCCAGTTGGAAGACATGGCTCCCGCGATGAAGTCCGCGATGAAGTCCAAGGCCATGAAGACCGCCAAAGCCATGACCAAGTCCCAGCTTGCCGACCAGCTCGCCACGAAGTCCGAGCTCAAGAAGAAGGAAGTCATGTCGGTCCTGCAGAATCTTTCCGAAATCGGTGCCAGCGAGGTCACCAACACCGGCAAGCACCTTGTTAGCAGTTCAGGCATTCGTGTTGGACCTGGAGTCACTCCCATTTTTGCCATCTGATGTCCTGTACATCCGAGGTTCGTTCTGCCAGGGCTCTGCATGATCAAGACTCGTGCCTGGGCTGATCCTGTCATGTCTTTGAGTGCAAGTGGTCGAGTAGGGGAACGCCTGGCAGCCGGAGCTGCAAGGTCAGAAGCCTGCCACGAAGGGTGGCGTTCGCATGATGTTCGGCAAGGCCAGTAAGCGGTAACTGACGAGACTGATGAAGGCCGTCTAAGCTGTGATGTCTCTGCTGAAGGAGGTTCAGGTCAAGGCGCAGAAGGCGGGATCGCTGGCAGGCAGTGACTGCTGCGTCTTGCGACCGAAGTTGCCGTCAGGCGAAGACGGTTGTGAAAGCCACGCCGGCGGCTGCACTCAAGAGCCAGTTCTAGGGGGTGGCTTTGAGCTGCTGACTGCGGCGCTGCGGTTGGCTGCGTGCTCGTCGATGGGGTTCGACGGTGAGCACGCTCGCTTGCTGTGGAGCGCGAGATCTGTTCGTGCGCAATCAGACGCACGCCGTGTACCGTTACATGCTGACTGAAAAGTTCTGTCGGCACAGGTTTCCCGAGGAGTCGCCATGCCCAGCGTCCAATGCTTTTGCAGGTGTGTGTGTGTGTGTGTGTGTTTTTGTGTGTTCGGATGTGCATATTTAACGAACGGATACCTGATATTTACATCCCACAGCCTATGCATGACAACGATTTGCTTGTGTGGGCGCTTGGCATTGGAGGCTTTTGCCGCCGAAGCAGAAGAACTGGTCCACAGAGATGCTTCAACTTTAACTTGCAACGCGACAGGCTACAGTGGCTTTTTCGAGCCTGTAGGCATTGATAACGAGTGACGATCCAGTTGCTGCTGCTCGCGCTTAGCCCTCGCTGCTCAAGCTTTCACAAGGCCTTCGGCACTCGCCCAACCCAGTTGGAAGACATGGCTCCCGCGATGAAGTCCGCGATGAAGTCCAAGGCCATGAAGACCGCCAAAGCCATGACCAAGTCCCAGCTTGCCGACCAGCTCGCCACGAAGTCCGAGCTCAAGAAGAAGGAAGTCATGTCGGTCCTGCAGAATCTTTCCGAAATCGGTGCCAGCGAGGTCACCAACACCGGCAAGCACCTTGTTAGCAGTTCAGGCATTCGCGTTGGACCTGGAGTCACTCCCATTTTTGCCATCTGATGTCCTGCACATCCGAGGTTCGTTCTGCCAGGGCTCTGCATGATCAAGACTCGTGCCTGGGCTGATCCTCTCATGTCTTTGAGTGCAAGTGGTTGAGTAGGGGAACGCATGGCAGCCGGAGCTGCAAGGTCAGAAGCCTGCCACGAAGGGTGGCGTTCGCATGATGTTCGGCAAGGCCAGTAAGCGAGAACTGACGAGACTGATGAAGGCTGTCTAAGCTGTGATGTCTCTGCTGCAGGAGGTTCAAGTCAAGGCGCAGAAGGCGGGACCGCTGGTAGGCAGTGACTGCTGTGTCTTGCGACCGAAGTTGCCGTCAGGCGAAGACGGTTGTGAAAGCCACGCCGGCGGCTGCACTCAAGAGCCAGTTCTAGGGGGTGGCTTTGAGCTGCTGACTGCGGCGCTGCGGTTGGCTGCGTGCTCGTCGATGGGGTTCGACGGTGAGCACGCTCGCTTGCTGTGGAGCACGAGATCTGTTCGTGCGCAATCAGACGCACGCCGTGTACCGTTACATGCTGAGTGAAAAGTTCTGTTGGCACAGGTTTCCTGAGGAGTCGCCATGCCCAGCGTCCAATGCTTTTGCAGGTGTGTGTGTGTGTGTGTTTTTGTGTGTTCGGATGTGCATATTTAACGAACGGATACCTGATATTTACATCCCACAGCCTATGCATGACAACGATTTGCTTGTGTGGGCGCTTGGCATTGGAGGCTTTTGCCGCCGAAGCACAAGAACTGGTCCACAGATATGCTTCAACTTTAACTTGCAGCGCGACAGGCTACGGTGGCTTTTTCGTTCTGTAGGCATTGATAACGAGTGACGATCCAGTTGCTGCTGCTGGCGCTTAGCCCTCGCTGCTCAAGCTTTCACAAGGCCTTCGGCACTCGCCCAACCCAGTTGGAAGACATGGCTCCCGCGATGAAGTCCGCGATGAAGTCCAAGGCCATGAAGACCGCCAAAGCCATGACCAAGTCCCAGCTTGCCGACCAGCTCGCCACGAAGTCCGAGCTCAAGAAGAAGGAAGTCATGTCGGTCCTGCAGAATCTTTCCGAAATCGGTGCCAGCGAGGTCACCAACACCGGCAAGCACCTTGTTAGCAGTTCAGGCATTCGTGTTGGACCTGGAGTCACTCCCATTTTTGCCATCTGATGTCCTGCACATCCGAGGTTCGTTCTGCCAGGGCTCTGCATGATCAAGACTCGTGCCTGGGCTGATCCTCTCATGTCTTTGAGAGTAGGGGAACGCACGGCAGCCGGAGCTGCAAGGTCAGAAGCCTGCTACGAAGGGTGGCGTTCGCATGATGTTCGGCAAGGCCAGTAAGCGGTAACTGACGAGGCCGTCTAAGCTGTGATGTCTCTGCTGCAGGAGGTTCAGGTCAAGGCGCAGAAGGCGGGACCGCTGGCAGGCAGTGACTGCTGTGTCTTGCGACCGAAGTTGCCGTCAGGCGAAGACGGTTGTGAAAGCCACGCCGGCGGCTGCACTCAAGAGCCAGTTCTAGGGGGTGGCTTTGAGCTGCTGACTGCGGCGCTGCGGTTGGCTGCGTGCTCGTCGATGGGGTTCGACGGTGAGCACGCTCGCTTGCTGTGGAGCGCGAGATCTGTTCGTGCGCAATCAGACGCACGCCGTGTACCGTTACATGCTGAGTGAAAAGTTCTGTCGGCACAGCATATCCAACTTTGTTGCCCAGTTCACTTTCAACATCAAACCCCAAAACGCCCTGAAGAGCCGGCATGGAGCACCGTAAACCCCAAGCCCCTTGTCCGAAGGCTTCGGATTTAGCCGCCTCCTCGGCGTCGCAGGCGGAGGAGGTCGTCCGACAGGGGCTAGGTGGGCTAGGTCTGTTTCTCGTCGGGCGGGGATGGGAGCAGTAGCAGTATGAGGAGGAGGTCAGCCGTCTCGGGGTGCATGGTTGCAGGTTTTTACTACCCTTCTTGTTGTGGCTATTGTTTCCGTGGGTTGTCTCGATTGTGTTACTGCGTCTGAGAAACAGGGTTGGTTGGTTAGTTAATTGGTTAATTAGCTGGTTAGCTAGCTAGCTAGCTAGCTAGCTTGCGCATTTTTTCACTTGTTTGTTTGTTTGTTCGTTTGGTTGTTTGTTTGTGTGTTTGTTTTTGAATTGTTTTCAATCATTGTGTGTTTGCTTTAGCTGGTGCGTGTGTGTCTATTTGCTGGGTTGCTTTGTTGTGTGTTTGTTGGTTGATGTGTTTGTCCTTTGTGTGTTTGCGTGTTTGCTTACTTGCCCAATGTCCCAAAACTCGAAACCCTAAACCCCAGATTCCTGAATCTCCTCCAAACCCTGAAGACAGCCCTCTGTAAGCAAGGCGAGCGCGTCAGCTTGTTGCTCAAAGTCGGCTCATAGCCGCGAGTGACGCCAGGAGGGGAGTCGGTTTTTTGGAGTTTCGGTGTTCCCACTCTAGGCTTCTAGGGCTTTTCGGGATGCTATGGTAGGGCTTCTAGCCTAGCGATTCAGGGATCGGGATTCTCTTGCTGGGGGCTTAGGAGCCTTTTCAAAGGAAAGGCGCTTCAAAGTGCATGCGGACGTGCCCAAAGAAGTGGCACGTCCCCCATGCACGAAGACACGCACAAGCTCTACCCGAAACCCCCACTCCGTCGACTTCACAGGCCAGGTCTCCTTGGATTTGCTTCTCTCCAGGCACTATTCCTACAGCCACCCACCACCAGAAGCCCTGCGAAGCGCAAGTGATCGAAATCCTGCCCGCGTTGTGTGTTAGCCGGTGCAAACGGGCTTGCCCAGACTGGTGAGAGTGGATGCTTGCAAGCCATGCCGAGCTGCCGTAGAGTCTCATGGTTTGGTATGTAGGCTCGAGTTTGTCGATTTAACGTAAAGACTTAGGGCATTTATAGACAGCTGCTTTCGTTGCCGTTTTCGGGGCATGGGCGAGATGTTTTGCGGTTGATTGGTTGGTCGGTTGATTCTATGCTTGTCGCCGGGAGTAGTGCTCTACATATCAACTCCGGCCTTGAGAACATGGAGGTTGGATTTGGCACTGACAAAGATGATGTTGAACCAGGCACTTGAGAAGCTGCTCGAAATTCATCGGCAGCAAGCATCACTCCAGTCATGGGCTTGTACAGACCAGCGGCGTTGTGCATAGATGGGAGTTCAGATGATGCTGCTTTTCATAGCATGTGTTTCTGTTCAGGACTGTTTCGTCCTTTCGGCAATCCCCAGCTGCCCATGCAGAAAAAGGAGAGCGCTCCGGAGAACTGTGGCACACTTTTGGGCATCCTTCGTAGGATTCCTATGAATTTTTCTTTCAAGGATTACAAGAAGAACTTTTATCACGGCTACTGAAAGGCTCACTAAAATCGTCTGATATATGATTTTCCTGAAGCCTTGAACCTCTGTCCCAAATCCAGATCCACGTGTGGCCGCGCGGTTCCAGCTTGGCTTTCGGTTTGCTTGCAAGCTTAACGGATGCCGTTCAAGGAGGTATAAACCCCTGGCAGTAGCAGCCTGAACAATTGGAATTTCAAACCTCGCATGTTTAAGTTGCCACGACTGAACCTCCCCTCCGGACTTGAACACGTTGAACCCTCCCACCCAAAAGCAAAAAGCAGTACCTAAAGCCCAATCAAGGCCCCAATCAATTTTGAGTTTGACTTCGACCATGTGTCATACAACCACAACCTAGCAAGTTCAGTCCTAGATCTTAGGACTCATGCACCTCTCATGTATGCAGTGGGGCTTCAATAGTGAATAATAGTATCCCTTTTCAGCCCCCATAAAGATTACATCATACTATGCCCCAAAACATAGAAGCGAGCCTTGAAAGCTTTTGAGCCATGCCAACCCCCCCTCTGCGGAAGCTGTTCCCCCTGGCTGCTGGCTGCTTCCTGGCCCGGCCGCCCAGACGTAGACCTCCATGAAGGGATCTATAGTAGGGGGTTCTGTATTTGGGCCTTAAATATTTATTTACCATTACTACCTCGGGGGTTCCTTATTACTTTAGGATCTAAGCTTTTGGGTCTACGATTTGGGGCTTCAGGTGTTCACCGCAGCGGTTGAGATGGGATGAGACGGGCTCAGGGTCCAAACCCGAACTGCGAAACTTCTGACCCTGGCCCCTGAGAACACCTGCAAATCCCAAAGCCCTAAACCGAACACTCAACACAAAGACCGATACAAAGGCTGGAGTGAATGGTTACTTACTGCTTGTAATATTTTCCTTTAGAATTCCTATATGACTATGTGGTCATACTGTATAGCATACTACACTCCAACCCTATTTTCACAGTCCTGTATGAAGCCCGAAAGCCAAAACCCCAAAAGAAAAACACACACTGAACACCACCGGAAGCAGAGGCAGCCGCCCCATTTTCCTTCAGCCTGGCACCTGGCCGCCCGGAGGCGCAGTTGCTTTGGATTTAAACCCTACACCCCGAACCCTAAAGCCTAACCCCTGGGTGAACATGTTCCAGAAGGTCACCACCTTTGGGCACCAAGACTTCGGTGATGAACTTGGAGAAACGGTAGTTTGGGATACATGGCTCCTCAAACCACCACAGGATCCATGGAAGCCTCCTGAAGCGATCCCTGGTCAGAAGAAACAAAACAGCCGTAATGGCCGACATGGTGAAGTGAAGAACAATGAAGGGGTCGACGAGTGAGTGGTCATGGTGGAGGGTTTGTTGCCTTCCACATGGCGGATTCTGAGGGGGGGGTTCCATGCAGAGGAAAAAGGCGTAATATAAGGGCCTTAATAATTAGAATTTGGGCCCAGCGTACAATAGTTCTAGTAAGGAACCTCCAAGATTGTATAGGCTGCAAAAAACCCAAAACACTAAGGCTCCGGATTTTGATTTTTACGGAGAGGCGCCGTGCCCCAGACGATGCGACAGGAGCCGCGGCTTCGGGTAGGTTCTGGGAGCGGGGTGGGCGTCGTTTTACTTAACATAGGAATACCTTACAGAAGGGGCTTCATGCATAATCGGGTTTTCCCAGCGCTTTGTAGGCTTTTATGCTTTTGTGTTTTTCCGGGCTGATTACATAATAAGCGTAAGCCCCACATCCAGCAAACACCTGCAGCCGACGCCCAGAAACCCTCATCCAGGATCGCGCGCAGCGCCGCTGGCGACGCAGGAGATGACAGCCTGGAGCTCAGGGTTTTTGGAGCTTAGGGTTTAGGGTTTGATCCCAGTAGAGAACACCAGAGTTCAGGGATGTTCAAGGGTTTTCTTGCATTCTACAATGTCAAGGTTTGAATTAGGGGCTGGGTTCAGTGTCTTTTCAAGTTCAGGTTAAAGAGCAGGCTTTTCGCGATGCTATAAGGCTTCCGGATTTGTTAGGGCTGTTAGGGTTCGGGTTCAGGAGCATGCTGGGTTTCCGGTACAGGGTGGAAGCTTCAAGGCCCAGGAACGACAAGTGAAGCGGTGCTACGGGAGCTCGTGAATGAGAAGGTCATCTCCATGTTGGGTAATCTCCGTATTTAGTGTCAGGCTTTCTTTGAGTGGGTGACCCTAGAAGACCCTTAGCAAGGTATGCTTGAAGAATCACGGGTCTTGGTAAGTGGGTTGGGTTGCAGGTTCCCCATACCAGGATTGTCCTGTGTACAGCCCCTACTATAGTCGGCTTTCACTTTTCCAAGACCTAGACGAAGCTCAGGCTAATCCTGACGACCTACCTTCTTAGGCTTCCTCATTATCAAATGACTTCCTTGTTTGGAAAACCTAACCCTTTTAGGCTTCCTTACGATGACTTACTGATAGGAAAACCCAGGCAACCCATGCTTTATGGGATTCCTCATTCAGCCTTCTGTTGTTTTGGATGGGGGTTATAAGATTTTACCTATCGGTTTGTTGAACTTAGGGGTGCATGATGTGGGATTAAACTGGCAACGTTGACACCGAGGAACCTTGTTATGATTACCCACTACGCCTACTACCTACAATAATAGTTCACAGAGCCCTAGTCTGCTACAACAGTTACGATTATCTACTATCTACTTTTATGACACCGTAGTTCCCAAAGCCCTGTTCTACTTCCTAAGAGCCCCTATGACAGCCCTCCGCCCTTCTGGCAGCCCAGCTCAGTGAGGCTCTGTGCCGCCGAGTCCTCTAGCCTCGACCCAAGAAGCCCAGGGTTTGAGGGTTTTTGCAACTAGGGATTAGGGATTAGGTTTTTAGGGATTAGGGCTTTGGGAATAGGGTTTTAGGGATTAGCATTTTTAGGGTTTAGGGTTTGAGGTTTGTTATAGTGGCTTTCAGAGAAAAGTACATTGTGGAGGCACGCGCTTTGTGAGTTTGCATATACCATTCTCCAGAAAAGTTTGGAGTTCAGGGTTTGAGGGTGTCTGGTTCAGGGTTTAGGGTTTTTAGGGTTGGCCATTATACTATAATTATAATTAGGGGTTCCTCATTAATCATAAGGAACCCCTAATAGTATTGGTAAGGCCCCTATAGTAGGGTTTTTGGATCAGGATTTTTTTCGGAATGACTTGTCTTCCGGTCACCAGTTTCGCTCTCAGCCTTGGATCGAAGGCGTTTTCCTTCTTGGAAAGTCGTATGTCTGAGAATTCGTTGCAGGGTGTCCGTCATACACTATATATGTATGTATGTATACATACATATATATATATATGCATATATATATATATATATATATATACACCCACAGACACATATGCATATCCATCTATATATATATATACACACATATATGTATATTTGTACATACACACATATGTACTTACACATTAATTTGAATGGCTGGTTGCTTTGTTGCGTATCTTTGGATGCCCTTGAAGAGGCAAGAAAGCTATTGAACTCCAAGCCTCCAAGGGCCGGACACCCGAAACCCTGAACCTACAAGGCGAGATCTTAGGCCTTACCTGGACCCCATAAAACCATCCTTTTCTAACGTTCACTATTATGATTTCCTTATATAGACTTCACAAAGTTGGGTGATATAGGATCCAGGTACCTCCTGAAATCTAACACCGCTCGGCTTTTGACTTTACGCCTTTAGGTCCCCACGCTTTGGGGCTTAAGCTGTGGTTTGGGCCGAGGATGTCCCGTGGTGGCAGCTGGAGGACATTGAGCGTGCATTCATTGAGAATGCTGCTGGAGTGGTACACCTACCACTATTACCACTGCTGCCACTACTGCCACCACTACTACTACGACGACGACGACTTCTGCGACTGCTACAGTGCTACTACTACTACTACTACTACTACTACTACTACTACTACTACTACTACTCCTGCTACTACTACTACTACTACTACTCCTGCTACTACTACTACTACTACTACTACTCCTCCTGTTACTACTACTACTACTACTACTACTACTACTACTACTACTACTACTACTACTACTATTACTACTACTACTACTACTACTACTACTACTACTACTACTACTACTACTACTACTACTACTACTATTACTACTACTACTACTCCTGCTACTGCTACTACTACTACTACTACTACTACTACTACTACTACTTCTACTACTACTACTACTACTACTACTACTACTACTGCTACTGCTACTGCTATTACCACTACTACGGCGGCGACTACTGCTACTACTGGTATGACTACTACCACTACTACTACTGCTACTACTGCTATTGGGAACGCTCTTTGGTTGCCAGCACTCATTCGATCGCGGCATTATCCTTCAGACTACCATCCTGCCTATCCTGAACTACGACCACTACTACTACTACTACTACTACTGCTGCTGCTGCTGCTGCTGCTGCTGCTAATACTACTACCACTACCACTACTACCACCACTAGGGCTACTGCTACTGGGAGAGCTCTTCGCTTGCCGGCATGATCCCTCAGACTGCCATCATGACCCGAAGATGACTACGACTGCAACGGACTTCCCTTGGGTTAGTAGGGAATGGAAGAATGGTAGTAGTAATCGTAGTTATAATTGTACCCCATTTCTCCATTCCCTAAAAACAAAAGTAAGCTATAGAATTATGAAGGCCCCCTATATTATAGTACCCTTATAGATCCCTTATCGTAACCCTTATAGACCCTATTACAAGGCCCCTTCCATTCCCTACTAACCAAAGGTAAGCGGAACGGTTGATGATATATATCCTGCATTACCTATCATAAGGAATATACCATAATTCCCATAGTTTAGGGTCCTTCAGGTAATGCAGGATTTCTATCATCACCCTGATCCCTAAAACCCTATAGATCCCTTTAAAGGTACCCTTATAGATTTAAACCATCAACAGAAGGGTTGATATAGGTATTCTATACCCATTGTATAGCCCATGATAGGGTCCCAGGGGTCCCCATTAAGGGTCCCTCCTTTTCCCCTTTGACTAAGTCCCATGAACCTCTAAGTAGACCCTAAACCCTAAACCCTATAGATCCCTTTAAGGAACCCTATAGATCCCTTTAAGGAACCCTATAGATCCCTTTAGATCCCTTAAAGGAACCCCTCTAGTAGATCCCTTTAAAGGACCAGGCGGAGCGCCTCATGGCTCCCCGGATGCCCTTCCGGGTCGAGCAGGTTTCGCCTCCCCCGGCCGGGCGGCCCCGGTAAGGAGATTTTAGGGTTTGAGGGTTTGAGGGTTTTAGGGTTTAGGGTTTCAGGGTTTTTGGGTTTTAGGGTTTTAGGGTTTTAGGGTTTGAGGGTTTTAGGGTTTTAGGGTTTCGGGTTTGAGGGTTGGAGGGGCCCCGTTGTTGGGAGCACAGAGGGGGTCTCGAAGAAAGGGCATCGCAGCACAGAGAAAGGGGCCCAGAAGGCAGCATTTTTTGGGGGGGAGGTTGTGTGTATTTTTTCTGCATATCTTACCAGGGACTTGGAGACTTGTATCCAACTCTAGTAATATGATTGGTGGTGGTGAGAGGAGGAACGAGGAACAGGAACGTTTGAACAATGACGACAACATCGATGACAGCAACAGCTGCAGCAGTTATTGTCTTCATGGTCATTGATACGTAACAACAAGCGCAGCAACAATAGCAACACAGCAAGTGGCCACGCTGAGACCCCAAACCCTCAAACCTCAACTCCTCAACGATGCACCTTCAATCCACAACCCCCAAGCCCAAAACTCCCAAACTCCCAAACCCCAAACCTTCCCTAAAACCCGTCAGCCTAAGTTCAGGCTAAACCCTAAATCCCACCGAAATCCCATAAACCCTGAAATCTCGGAGTCGCTTTGTCGCTCCGGCCGAGGTGAAAAAGCTGGGCTACGCCCTGCTGGATGCCAGGTTCCTCCTTCGGTTTCGGGTTTTGTGTTTAGTCTTTCGGGGTCGGATGACTAGAAATCGTATCCTTATAGTCCTGATCACAAGTATTGCAGAGCAGCATGCCGCCAAAATCCGATTCTAATGATTAAGGGCCCTGGGTCAGGGTTGGGCCTTTGGATGCAGAAGGTCTTGGTCGGCTTGAAGGTTGTGGGGTTGCCGTAAACCCAAAACCCTAAACCCTAAACCCTGACTCTATCCAACCTGAAGCTCTCCACCGATTTGGCTTTTGACGCCCAAAACCTAATTATTCCTTCGAGTTCCTTCCTGATTATAAGAATACAGCCCTATGCTAATCATTAAGGCCCCTGCATTATGTGGTTAGGAGACAGGAGCTTCAAAGAAGTAAAGGCAAAGATTTTTGGCCCAGGGAAGCAGGCTTTTTTCCGAGTTCACAGTATTGCATGATCAGAGTAGTTCGGAAGCAGGGCAAAAAGCACGGAGACTGCAGTTCAGATCATTCATAAGCCCACCCGCAGTATGCAGAACCCTATTTATTACGTTCCCCTGCCCGGATCCTCCGATTTTCTTGTTGAGTCTGCACTTTTGTAGTCCCTTTGCGGCCCGCTTCCTTGGCCAGAAGGGGGGGGTGGGGGTCGCGGCTTTTTCGAGCTCGGATCTGTAAAACTGCTTCATACTTGTCTATAGCTTGCTGGACTATACTTGTTTTAATCATATGTCTCTACCGGTTCTGCCTTTACTAACACTGTGTGAGTTTTGAGATAGGGTGAATGGTTTCGTTGTTTTCATCCAGCAGAGCTCTTTCGGGTGATCGAGCTCCTTGCCAGGACTGCCCGAGGGGACGTCATCAACATGAAGGGCACCGAGACTTTGGCCAAACCTAAACCCCCAGGTTAAGCACCCAACAGAATCCTTCCGTTACCGTTATAAGACGCCCTTCTAGAACATCTTCCGAACATTCGCCGATACAGAACACAGTTCTCGTTGTTCGTACGCAGCCCATCGTGACCGGCTTTTTTTAAACATTTTTGGTGCAAGAAGAAGCATGAATAGCTTTTTTTGCTGATAACCCACTAGAACCATACTGCCCCAGATTGGAGGTACCGGTAACATTTGGGTGCAGGATTTAGGGGCCATCTTCGGATTTGAGGGGGAGGGCCCATGGTGGGGTTCGCATCTTCGCGTTTGGTGCCTCCGGGGGGTCTCACAAACTTGGGGCGGGACAGAAAGAGAGCAAGCGACCTAATCCCCAAACCTCAAGTAAAAGACGAAGCCGAAGCCACAGCTGAGGAGAAGGACGACTACGTCGTCAGCAAGGCAAGGCGTCTTTTCGCGTGAAGTTCTGACGTCCTAACAGTATCCTTGACTTAAGCGATAGGCTTGAAATCAAAAGAAGCGAAGTATTTGGGCTTTGAGAGTAGGTTTTGGTTTGGGGCTTAGGGCCAAATAGCAACAGAAGGAACAGGCCTTACATCGCAGCAAGTGGCCCAGCTTACTTTAAGGTTGATTCCTCAGTCAAGGGATACATGGTTACATTTGGGCTCTCTGAGAGGTCCGATTCCTCTACGACCTCGTGGGCGGCAAGTATCGTATCAGGACGAAAGTTCTGGAGGCCAGCGAGGGTGAAACTTGGCGTTTGTTTTGGGCTTCCGGATTTGGAGGCTCTGTGCAGGGGGCGTTGTAAGTTTGGTGGGATGCGAAACGAATCCTACCGCCCTTACGGGCTTTGCCTGGTTCGCACACGGCTGGGTTTGGGCGCAGCGGTTTTGATTGGGAGGTTCAGTGCTTGTTTTCGGGTTCGGTTTTCGGGGTTGGGCCCGAAGACTTTGATCCGGGGGCTTCGGATCGCTAAACTTTATAGGCCCGAAGCAAGGAACCCGCCCGAAGCCGGTCCACAAGTCGGAGGGAAGAGCTCGAAGGATCAGAGCGTTCAGTTTCGCACCAACCCTACACTTCCTGAGCCTCAACGGCCTTGAGCATTGCAGACTCTAAGCCCCAAAAGCAAGGCCCCGAAGGCCTTGAATCGCAAGGTTCCCAAACCCTCAAACTGTACAACCTGATAGAAAGAACCCAAACCCTAAGCCGAAAATCCGAAACCCTAAGCCTAAAACCCTAAAGCAACCCTGAAGGGCCTGAGCCCAAGCAGAAAAGCCTTGCTGCCGACGACAGGTCCAGACCCCAAGGCGCTACAAGATCAACGAGCCTTGGGGCACTGGTGGGTTCCTGTATGGGTCGGTCTATAAGGTTAGAGGAGTTGAGATTACCCTCTCAATATAAGGTCCTTTTTACGAGAGCCAGAAGTAGGGTTAAGGAGGCTCCCCTTTTAAGGGCCTCCCGAATACTACCTAGGAGGCTAGTCTGTGCACTGAGGGTTGGGGATAGGGCTCAAGGTTTGCGACTCAAGTTTGTGTAAGCCAAGCTTGAGGGTTTGCGGCATGCGGATTTAGGCTTTTGGGCACAGTCCAGACCCTTAAGCCCTTAGGGCCTTCAAAAGCAAGCCTAAACCAAAAGCCCCAAACCCTTAAAGTCATCAGAAAGAAGCACCCGAAAGATCCGAAGAGCAGCTGAGGAGAAGCTCGCCGGCCTTGCAGCGGCCCCCGGCATTTGGGGCTTCTTTTGGTTCCAAATTCCAAACGCCTTTGGGTGAGGAGTACTCAACTGCCTTGGGAGTTGTAAATTGTAATGTAGTGTGACACATGAGAATGAAAAGTGCCAACCAAGTGATGCTTGTAGTGAATCGTGCTAGTAGACAGCTATAAACTGCCAAGACCTTGTGAATTAATATTTCGCCTGCATCACCATGCCGCTTCAAAGCAATGCAAATTCATGGCACTGTCACTATTGCTGTTCAGGTATAGGGGCTTTTATAATTACCTATACTATTTCGGTGGCTCCTTATCATAATTATGGGATCACCGGCCCCCAAAACCCATATAATTCTGGGATAATTGGCCCCAGAACCCCTATAATTATGGAAAACCCTATAATTACGGGATCATGGGCCACAAAACCCTTATAACTATGGGATCATGGGTCCCAAAACCCTTATAATTATGGGATCCTAGGCCCCAAAGACCCTTCAGAGACAGCCTGAAGCTCCCAAGAAGAGCTTGGGTTCGGCTCCCGAAGGCTCAGGGGCTTAGGCTTAGGCGTCAGGGTTAGGAGATCGGTGTGGGAGTTTCCGGAAGTTAGGGGTACCTTACTTTGGGGTCCTGATAATAAGGATCCTACTATGTAGGGCACTATATTACGGTTCCCTATTTTCGGAAACTCCCGTGTGTAGAAAAGCATGGAAGTGCTTCGGAACTTTCATGCGGTGGTTTTTGCTTTGAGGGTCTGGGGTTTGAAGTCTCAGAAGGGTTTAAGTTAGATGTACTGTAGGGTTTTGGGGAGAGGCTTTTGCCACGAGGATCCGTTTCCATCCTGGCCCTCCTACTCTCCAAACCCAAAGTTTAGCATGCTGAAGATGCCTTACTAAGTAGTTGCATCTTACACTCACGGGAGCGGAGGCTGTCCTAAACTCCGAACGATAGCTGAACATGAAACCGGTGATAAACAGGAAGCTCAAGGCGCAAAGTTCGTCCCTTCAGCCGAGGTGAACCGCGACGAAGCATAGCTTTTCAAGCGGTGGTGCTGCTTTGGAGTTTGCGGATGCCAGGAAGTGCACGCCCCCAAATTCCCGTAACCTACTTCCTTAGCCACTAGATCCAAAATCCCAGAACTCAAACCGCCAAAACCCCAAAACTCAAACACTGAGATCAAAAGCCCGTTTAGAAGAAGTGCAAGTTGTGAAGGGAACCCTGCAACACCCCAACACCCCCTTCCGAGTCTTCATCCCATGAGTGCCCTGCACTCAGAAGCTTCAATGCCCTTAGGAGATTATTTGACATGTTTATTGTAGTATAACTCCAACTAAGGGATTATTAGAACCGTCGTTTTCATGATGTTTCTACCGGCGCTTAGGGTGGCTCGACGTGAACTCCGAGAGTGCCGATCAGCTTCACTGGTCCCCGAAGAGCCCAGTAACCCCTTTGTAGCGGCCTGAACATATGAGAATCTCTTGCTTTGGGAGTATATTGCAGTGTAGTTACACAGGGACTGCATTTTAGTTCTGGGGTCTATCGGTTCTAAGAGCTTTATTGGTTTTCGTAAGTGGAAGATACTTTAACTACTCATAAGCAGAAGCAGAAGGCCCCATATAGCTTAGTTTATGCTCTTTAACTAAGGGGTATTGGGCAAATTCAGCTTGCTGGCCCGAAGCTGGGCGTGGCGGGCCAGGCACGCAAGCCGGAACTCCCTGATGCTTCTAAGGATCGAGTTGTGGTTTAAGACTTAGGGTGTATGCTCAAAACTTTAGCCCTAAACCCTGAAAACGGATGGTTTAGGTTTTGCGGTTCAGGTGTCATAGTCCCCATAATCCATTCCCCCATTCCTTACTAAGAGCCAGACAGTAAGGTTGAGAGTCGGGGAAAGGATGCCCGTCGCCTCTGTGTTCGAATAGGGTTTTGGTGCCCATTATACTATAAGTAATAGTAAGGAACCCCCAAAATAGTATCGGTAATTATTAAGGCCCCTATAGTGGCCCTGAAGCCGCACGGATTCTCCGCGAGGCTCCAGGAAAGGGAAAAGGCTCGGCCCGGCTCACCCACGTTTAGTCCCCGATGCAGATTTTCGCACCTGGGTGGCTTCCCGTTCATGGGCCCCTTTTGGAGGACTCTCCGAAATTAGGAGTACCTGATTTGGGTGTCCTTATAAGAAGGATCCTACTATTTAGGGCCCTAAGTCTTAGGGTATAGGGTTGAGGGTAGTATAGGGTTTAAGCCTTATCCAGGCGCCTAAACCACGAACGCCTTACACGCTACACCCTTAGACCCCTAAGCACCCGACGCCCCTACACCCGAAAGTCTAGCTTTTCAAGACAGAGGGCAAGATCCTCCAAGGAGTTACACCGTTTCGGCCAGATTGCCCTCACTCCAAAACTCCATACGTAAAAGTTCACCCCGGAACTCCCAAGAAAGGGAACCCACCCACATGGCTGCTCGTTGCCGCCTTCGGTCGTTGCTCAGCAGTCCTCTCCCTTCGTTTCGTTTTCAAAACTTTTCCGAGTGTTAGTTCAACATCACTCGGATTCAGAACACGACCAATGGTGTGTCTCCGGTTTGGTGTGGAATTCGGTTGTTGGTTCTTGGGGGCTGTCCTTGTCAAGCCGCGAAGGCTGCTTTCTCGTCTGACTCACCTGCACAGCAGGAGGAGCTCCTAATACGTAGATCGGGCGCCAGAGCGTACGCAAAGAGGAGTCTGGCTGTGGCAGCGTCAGAGTCATCCTGTTTCGGGTTAAGGGGGGTTAGGGCTTATAGGCTCTGTGGTTTTAGTGATCTCGATGCCCCCCCCCCCCCCCGCAAAATGCAACTAGCTCTGTGAGTTTCAGCTTACAGCATCAGCTATTGCTCGCATCGTCTTGTTTCTTTGTCAGGGCAATTTCTGTGATCTTTGCGTGCATCTTTGATGAACTATCCTCCTGGAGCACAAACACAGTATCATAAAGTATGTGTTAATGCCATATACTATAACAGTTGTTCATATAATGTGTCTGGCTAGCTTTTGGCTTCAGGCTCTGTGCCTGCCGGCCTCCCCCGCGAGGTCAGCAGAAGCCCACACAAACCAAACATCTCCTTTACGCCTGAAGCTTCGGGAAACCTCCGATGCTTGACTCAGAGCCTAAAAAAGAGCTAAACCCCCAAGGCCCCTAAGCCTGAGCCCTGCACCCCACTCTCGGATCTGTGTTGGTAGTCCTTGCTACTCTCACAGATCAAGAGCTTCAGAAGCCTCATATTCTCCGAGCTCCCTCCACCCACGCCCTGTAATAAAAAACTCTTATAGTCCGCTTCAAAGGAACCCTATTCTAACTATTAAGGCCTCTATATTAAATCCTTAAAATAGCCTTTATAGCAGCCCTTGGAGACCCTTTTTATGGGAACCCTCGTCTAATTATGGAGGCCCCTATACCAAATCCTCAAAATAGCCCTTATAGTAGCCCTTGGAGGCCCTTTCTATGGGAACCCTATTCTAATTCTATACGAGGCCCCCGGGACCGGAGCGCCCTCCGCAAAAGCCATGGGCGGCTCTTCGTCTCGGGCGCCGCCTCCCCTGGATCTGCCACAACAAGAGGCCGAAGCTGTGGCCATTGCTATTCTTACTATTATGATTATTGCGATTATGATTATTTATCATGATTAAATTACTATTATTGTCATCTTTTTGCTATTGCCTTGACTGCGAATACCATTGCTGCTAAAAAAGTACGATGACGACAGCTACTTTAATGCTGCTGCTGCTACGATGCCTCTTGTGATGCCTCGAAGTTATTCGTGCAAGTAGTGATGGCGATTTTTTTTCACCATCGCTCTCGGAATCATCCTTACAATCAGTACGTATTTTTTGGCATGATGAACCCTCAAACGTAAAGCCGACAAGCCCCGAAGCTCTTCCAGGATGGCAAGGCGCCGCCCGGGTGGACGCAGCAGTGTCCTGCCGGCAGGGGCCCCTGACTTCTTTGCTTGCCCGTGGGGCTTTAGGGTTTAGGGGTTTAGGACTTAAGGTTTAGGGTTTGGGGGTTTAGGGGTTTAGGACTTCAGGTTTAGGGTTTGGGGTTTAGGGTTTCGGGTTTTAGAAGATGAGTTTTGAGTTTCGGTCTTTTTTTGCCATTGGGAGTAGACAGAGGAGTTTATGGTGGCGTTTGGCGTTTAGGGGCGAGTTCAGCTCAATTGCTCTATAAGCTTGTCAAAGGTGGCTGTAGGGTTTAGGATGTCCAATGTCGTTTACAGCACGGCGCGTATGACAAGACAAGACCCTCGGAAGGCACTTTGTCTCAGCCGTTTGCCCGAAACCTCACAAGAAGCCTTGAATGCTCAAGCCTAAAGCTTCAGCCCTGAACCCCTGAACTCACATGAACCTATGATGTCCTATAAACATCTATAAGCGAGGGTCAGGGCCCACAGTACTAGGACTATTACAATTATGGCTACATTACTTAATACAAATACTACTCTTGGTGGCCGTTTCGGGGCATTTGTAATTCAGCCGTTTTTGTGGGGTTCATTGCCTTGAACCAACTGCAGCCTTGAACCAGATGCTCGAGGGGGGTACATGGACATCATTGCATACAACCAACTGCAGCCTTCAGGCTCGAGGGGTCAGACCAGGCATCAATCCAACCAGGTGTTTCCAGTGGAAACACCTGGTTGGAGTTGATGCCTGTCGGGGGATGCACGGACATCCCTCACCCCTGCAAGATGTCTGTGGTCCCACCACCGACATCTTGCAGGGGTGAAGGATGTGCGTGCATGAACCCCGACCGAGGCCCCAGCGTGCATGGATAGAGACATCCATCACCCCCGCAAGATGTCTGTGGTCCCACCACTGACATCTTGCGGGGGTGAGGGATGCCCGTGCATCCCCGACCGAGGCCCCAGCGTGCATGCACAGACCCAGAACAATGCACCAGGCTCGGTCAGACCCCAGCATGCATGCACAGACCAATGCACGAGCCTCGGTCAGACCCAGAACAATGCACCAGGCTGGGTCAGACCCCAGCATGCATGCACAGACCCAGAACAATGCACCAGGCTCGGTCAGACCCCAGCATGCATGCACAGACCAATGCACGAGGCTCGGTCAGACCCAGAACAATGCACCAGGCTGGGTCAGACCCCAGCATGCATGCACAGACCCAGAACGATGCACCAGGCTCGGTCAGACCCCAGCATGCAGGTCCAGGCTCAGTCAGTCAGACTACAGTAGGTGGTGGCTCCAAGGCTCCCAGGCTGCCAGGCTCAAGGCCCACCCCTAACCCGTGCCGCCATGTCTTCATGGACTTCGTCGTGATCACTCTTCGGCTGTGGCCGCAGCCGCAGCCGCAGCCTCAGGGGGGTGGGGGGGGGGGGCAGGACGAGAGCAAAAATCATATTATAGCATGAAATGCAATGACAGTCAGCTGCTTTGACTTGCGATTCCTGTCACGGCGGCTCCCAGGCACTTTAGGCTCCCAGGCACTTTAGGCTCCCAGGTTTCAGTCAGTTCCACTGAGGTTTCCTGCCGACGGCCGCCGCGGCTCTTCGAAGACAAGCCGCCAGTTTTGCATTTACCCGTGGAGTGTTGCATGCATGCCTAGAGTGTTTGCCGTGCACCACATGCAATCACAGTCAGCTGCTTTGACTTGCGAGTGTTGCCACTGGAGTGTTTGCCGAGCACCACATGCAATGACAGTCAGCTGCTTTCACTTTAGGCTCCCAGGCACTTTAGGCTCCCAGGTTTCAGTCAGTTCCACTGAGGTTTCCTCCGACGGCCGCCGCGGCTCTTCGAAGACAAGCCGCCAGTTTTGCATTTACACGTGGAGTGTTGCATGCATGCCTAGAGTGTTTGCCGTGCACCACATGCAATCACAGTCAGCTGCTTTGACTTGCGAGTGTTGCCACTGGAGTGTTTGCCGAGCACCACATGCAATGACAGTCAGCTGCTTTCACTTTAGGCTCCCAGGCACTTTAGGCTCCCAGGTTTCAGTCAGTTCCACTGAGGTTTTGAACACCTGCCGACGGCCGCCGCGGCTCTTCGAAGTTTGAAGACGAGCCGCCAGTTTTGCATGCACCCGTGGAGTGTTGCATGCATGCCTAGAGTGTTTGCCGTGCACCACATGCAATCACAGTCAGCTGCTTTGACTTGCGAGTGTTGCCACTGGAGCGTTTGTCGAGCACCACATGCAATGACAGTCAGCTGCTTTCACTTTAGGCTCCCAGGCACTTTAGGCTCCCAGGTTTCACTCAGTTCCACCGAGGTTTCCTGCCGAAGGCCGCCGCGGCTCTTCGAAGACAAGCCGCCAGTTTTGCATTTACCCGTGGAGTGTTGCATGCATGCCTAGAGTGTTTGCCGTGCACCACATGCAATCACAGTCAGCTGCTTTGACTTGCGAGTGTTGCCACTGGAGTGTTTGCCGAGCACCACATGCAATGACAGTCAGCTGCTTTCACTTTAGGCTCCCAGGCACTTTAGGCTCCCAGGTTTCAGTCAGTTCCACTGAGGTTTGAACACCTGCCGACGGCCGCCGCGGCTCTTCGAAGACAAGCCGCTAGTTTTGCATTTACCCGTGGAGTGTTGCATGCATGCCTAGAGTGTTTGCCGTGCACCACATGCAATCACAGTCAGCTGCTTTGACTTGCGAGTGTTGCCACTGGAGTGTTTGTCGAGCACCACATGCAATGACAGTCAGCTGCTTTCACTTTAGGCTCCCAGGCACTTTAGGCTCCCAGGTTTCAGTCAGCCCCACTGAGGTTTTGAACACCTGCCGACGGCCGCCGCGGCTCTTCGAAGTTTGAAGACAAGCCGCCAGTTTTGCATGCACCCGTGGAGTGTTGCATGCATGCCTAGAGTGTTTGCCGTGCACCACATGCAATCACAGTCAGCTGCTTTGACTTGCGAGTGTTGCCACTGGAGCGTTTGTCGAGCACCACATGCAATGACAGTCAGCTGCTTTCACTTTAGGCTCCCAGGCACTTTAGGCTCCCAGGTTTCACTCAGTTCCACTGAGGTTTCCTCCGACGGCCGCCGCGGCTCTTCGAAGACAAGCCGCCAGTTTTGCATTTACCCGTGGAGTGTTGCATGCATGCCTAGAGTGTTTGCCGTGCACCACATGCAATCACAGTCAGCTGCTTTGACTTGCGAGTGTTGCCACTGGAGTGTTTGCCGAGCACCACATGCAATGACAGTCAGCTGCTTTCACTTTAGGCTCCCAGGCACTTTAGGCTCTCCCAGGTTTCAGTCAGTTCCACTGAGGTTTTGAACACCTGCCGACGGCCGCCGCGGCTCTTCGAAGACAAGCCACCAGTTTTGCATGCACCCGTGGAGTGTTGCCCCTGGAGTGTTTGCCCAGCACCACATGCAATGACAGTCAGCTGCTTTGACTTGCGAGTGTTGCCGCTGGAGTGTTTGCCGAGCACCACATGCAATGACAGTCAGCTGCTTTGACTTGCGATTCCTGTCACGGTGACTCCCAGGCACTTTAGGCTCCCAGGCACTTTAGGCTCCCAGGTTTCAGTCAGTTCCACTGAGGTTTTGAACGCCTGCCGACGGCCGCCGCGGCTCTGCGAAGACAAGCCGCCAGTTTTGCATTTACCCATGGAGTGTTGCATGCATGCCCAGAGTGTTTGCCGTGCACCACATGCAATCACAGTCAGCTGCTTTGACTTGCGAGTGTTGCCGCTGGAGTGTTTGCCGAGCACCACATGCAATGACAGTCAGCAGCTTTCACTTTAGGCTCCCAGGCACTTTAGGCTCCCAGGGACTTTAGGCTCCAAGGTTTCAGTCAGTTCCACTGAGGTTTTGAACACCTGCCGACGGCCGCCGCGGCTCTTCGAAGACAAGCCGCTAGTTTTGCATTTACCCGTGGAGTGTTGCATGCATGCCTAGGGTGTTTGCCGCGCACCACATGCAATCACAGTCAGCTGCTTTGACTTGCGAGTGTTGCCGCTGGAGTGTTTTCCGAGCACCACATGCAATGACAGTCAGCAGCTTTCACTTTAAAGGCTCCCAGGCACTTTAGGCTCCCAGGTTTCAGTCAGTTCCACTGAGGTTTTGAACACCTGCCGACGGCCGCCGTGGCTCTGCAAAGGCAATCCGCGAGTGTTGCACGCGCCCGTGGAGTGTTGCCCCTGGAGTGTTTGCCGAGCACCAAATGCAATGACAGTCAGCTGCTTTGACTTGCGAGTGTTGCCACTGGAGTGTTTGCCGAGCACCACATGCAATGACAGTCAGCTGCTTTGACTTGAAATTCCTGTCACGGTGGCTCCCAGGTACTTTAGGCTCCCAGGCACTTTAGGCTCCCAGATTTCAGTCAGTTCCACTGAGGTTTTGAACACCTGCCGACGGCCGCCGCGGCTCTTCGTGAAGGCAAGCCGCCAGTTTGCACCACATGCAATCACAGTCAGCTGCTTTGACTTGCGAGTGTTGCCACTGGAGTGTTTGCCGTGCACCACATGCAATCACAGTCAGCTGCTTTCACTTGCGATTTCTGTCACGGTGGCTCCCAGGTTCTTGAGGCTCCCAGGTTTCAGGCTCCTGAAGCAGGAGTCAGACCAGTTCCTGGGTTAGCATATGTCAAGCAGCGCGGACAGTGACATCATGGCTGCATTGAAGCTCCGAGCGAAGGAGGTCGAGTCCACGGACACCGCCGCAGCTGCGGCTGCACAGCCGTCCGAGACGGTGGATTCGGAGGGCTTCACAGTGGTCTCAGATCCCGCCAAAAAGGAGGACCAGGAGGAACAGCAGCAGCCTGGGTCGGGATCGACTTCGTTGGCCAAGGCCAGCGACGATGCCACTTCTTCGGATGTCGGCGAGAACATCCCACCAGTGCTTCAGTCCATGGTCAAAGGGGCGATGCTGCAGTACAAGACTAAGGATCTCCAGTCCTACTATATGCACATTGGCTTCATTGAACGACTAGACTTGTATTAAGACTTTGGGAGCCGGTAGTAAATTCAAATTAAATTAGATATATTTATATGATAAACATAAAAGATCCTCCAGGCACCTGAAGCAAGCGCCGGAGCTGCTGCAAGACCGTTACGACACGGCTGAGCAGTTCACGTGGGCACTGGCAGGGTTCAATTCGTATCGCAGCTCATTCTACCCAGAGGGCGCTTTTTCCGAGAATTGTGGCATCGTAGCATGTACCTCGGCAGAATAACACGACTACATTTTTTAATAATAATAAATTTATTGTTGTAATTTAGTTTTTAATTTGACTGAAGATCGTGTCAACTCAGATTTCCCGTGGGAAGACGTGACGCTTCTGCCCAAGTTGCAGGAAATCGCGACGAGGATGCCGCCGCACAACGGCACGCCGCAGCTGTACTCTGTTGTACCTGAGCCTGATGATTAAATGAATTAAACTTAAATCTGTGAATGAATGTAATTAAATTTAAACTTAAAATTGCACTGAGGTGGCGTGCTGCATCCGGGAGCTTCTGGATCAGTTTCTCTATGCGCCTGACGAAAAGCAGGTCCGCATCCTCTTGTTCCCATACATCGCAAACGGGGCTGCGCGAGGATGTGGGTTGAGGGGCTTTGAACCCTGGCTAAGCTAGATGAAGGTAACAGATTGTTTGCATCGTTGGACTTTAATCTAAATGTAATAGACTTGAGCCAAGGACAAGGATCCCCAGTGGGCAGGATGGACACTGCCGATCATGTCGGATGGCTTGCTCTTGTCGGTGTCAGCGTACGCCCAGGATGTCTTGGCCTTTGCCTCCACGTTCTTGAACAAATGCGGGTTCTTGTCAGCAGTGCCAAGATCTGCTCCGATAGGCATTGCGGCACAGACATTCGCATCCGTGGAGGAGAGGAACGAGGCGATGCTCCGAAACAGTTTCCTCCGCGAGCGCTTCACCCAGGACTATGAGCAAAAGCTGTACAAGTGCGGCATTCGGCTAGCTGTCTTCAACACAGCCCTGCGGCAACTTGGCTCAGCATTTAATTTTGTGCCGTTCCGTGATATGTATTTGATAATCCAAGGCGGTCGGACATGATGACAAACAGTGGCCGGATGGATCCCGGGTTCCGGCAGTTCATTTCGCCACTCCCTTCCGACGGCCTTGAGATGGCGGCGCTGTACGAGTCCAGCAAGTCTTTGTGGGCGACCGATCAGGGCTACTTCTACTGCATCAGCCTGATCCCTGCGACGGTTTGCGCTTCGAGGAAGTTCGTGACGGAGACGATGATGCCCTTCTGCGAGGTGATCAAGGGCGATCTGGACGAGACCATGGAGGACTTCCGCTTCTCGAAGAAGAAGGACGTGACGTTCGCCTACCTGGGCGACGGGGACGACTTCGGGCTCTTCTTGGATGGCTACACCTTGGCGCCTGGGCGACAACATGTACGTTAAGTAAAAATTTGTTTAACTTGACTGATAACCTTCCATCCCAGGACCGGGTGATCATGTGGAGGCGGGTGCCGCTGGTGATGAAGTTTCAGCGGCATCAGGATGCCATTGGCAGGCCGTACACGGTCACCCTTTGCCGGTGCGGTAAATGGGGGCGACAGGTCGACTTTGCTATGAGGTTTTCTGGCACCAGGAACCCTGGCACTGACGAGTGAAGCCTGCTGACTGTTTCATTGCTGACTGGCTTTGTTTTGCACAGCGATCCCCAGGCCCCTAGGCTCCTAGGTTCTAAGGCTGGGATGTCTTGAGGAGCCATGAATTAAATAATTTAAATTTATTTTTTTAATAAATGTAAATGTAGCAATTTTTTTCACTCAAGTTCAAGGTTCCAAGGCTCCCAGGCTCCCAAGGCTCCTAGGCTTAGGATCTTGCGGGGACAAGCAGCTTGTGCCAATTCAATGATTTCAAGCCAGCCAGCCACGACGGAATCCTGGCATTGTCCAGCTGGCCAGAATCCTGGCATGTGCAGAGCAACGTCAAGTCTAGTCGATGTTGCCTGCACCCTCCAGCCGTGCGGCCGACAGCGAGCGCACATGCAAAAACAATGCTTTCTTCAATCAGCTTGTCAAGTAAAACCCCCCAGCCCGATAAACCCCAGAACCCCCCCCCCCCGCGGCAGGCGATCTTCATCCCGGCCCGGCTTGCCTGCTCAGGCCAGCGGGAATTCAGGCTTTGAAGGGTATCCATAAACCCTAAACCCTAAACCCTAAACCCGTGGAGCCTTGCCTGCCTGTGCGAGTGTGAGCGTCGAAAACCCTAAACCCTAAACCCTAAACCCTAAACCTTACTCGCCGAGGCTCGGCAGCGGAATCCGCGCTGGAGCCGGAGGCGGGTTCGGGTTTGTAAGGACTTAGGCTTAGGGTTTAGGGTTTGTAAGGATTTAGTTAGGGTTTGTAAGGACTTAGGGTTTAGGGTTTAAGCTAGGATTTAGGGTTCAGGGTTTGCAAGGAGTTAGGGTTAAGGGTTTGTAAGGACTTAGGCTTAGGGTTTAGGGTTTGTAAGGAATTTAGGGTTTAGGGACTCGCGGAAGGTTCCATTAAGTTAATTCCAAAACCCTTAAAGCCCAAACCCTAAACCCTAAGTCCTTACAAACCCTAAACCCTAAGGCCTTACAAACCCTAAACCCTAAGCCTAAGTCCTTACAAACCCTTAACCCTAAGTCCTTGCAAACCCTGAACCCTAAATCCTTAAACCCTAAACCCTAAGTCCTTACAAACCCTTAACCCTAAGTCCTTGCAAGCCCTGAACCCTAAATCCTTACTTAAACCCTAAACCCTAAGTCCTTACAAACCCTAAACCCTAAATCCTTACAAACCCTAAACCCTAAGCCTACGTCCTTACAAACCCTTAACCCTAAGTCCTTGCAAACCCTGAACCCTAAATCCTTACTTAAACCCGTAACCCTAAGTCCTTACAAACCCTAAACCCTAAATCCTTACAAACCCTAAACCCTAAACCCTAAGTCCTTACAAACCCTAAACCCTAAATCCGATAAACCCTAAACCCTAAGTCCTTACAAACCCTAAACCCTAAATCCTTGCAAACCCTGAACCCTAAATCCTTACAAACCCTAAACCCTTACAAACCCTAAACCCTAAATCCTTACAAACCCTTAACCCTGTTGCTTCGGAGTTACCCTGCAATGCGGGCTTCGTCCTTGCTAGGTAGCCTTAAACCCTTAGCCCCGAAACCCTAAACCCCAATCCCCTAAACCCTAAACCCCTCTGCCATCGCATCAAAAATACCCTAAACCCCTGTAAACCCTAAACCCTAAACCCCTAAACCCCTAAACCCTAAACCCCTAAACCCCTAAAACCCTACCCTAGACCCCTAGACCCCTAAACCCCTAAACCCCTAAACCCCTAAAACCCTAAACCCCTAAATCCCTAAACCCTTAAATCCCTAAATCCTAAACCGGAGTTCACACAAAGGCATGTCCCGTATCGGGCATCGCCGCGGGGCTCAGCCCTATGAACACGCTGCTCGAATCAGGACGAGCTAAGCGTGGTATGGCAACAACTGGCAATGCACAGCGTCTGCGTTCCCAATCCTGGAGGCCATACGACGAGTACAATTGCCGGTCGCGGCAAACTGGGGCTGCACATGGCAGCACGGCAACGCCACAGCCATGCGGTACTGGAAGTTTCAGACCACAAACGCATGGAGACTGCGCAGCGGCTGTGAGCCGGCGCACCGGTCCACGGACCCTCAGAGAAGCGCGTACATGCGCGTATAGCGTGACAGAAACACATTGTCACGCACGCGTCACGCGTCCGCGAGGGCCCCTAGGCTCCAAGGCTCCAAGGCTCCGAAGGATTTTGTTTGGCAAACCCCTCACAAAAATGATTAAAGAGGTAGTGGCGGGGTTTAGCAACGTTTTTGTTGAAAGTAGGCCATAAATCGTCTAAACCCTAAACCCTGGACCCTATTAAATTCCAGACCCTAAACCCTTAAGATTATCACCATCTTACGGTACTCGGCTGCAGTCGATTCATTAAAATCCCTTTGAACGCCTATGACCCCGCCGTAAGCCTAACACCCTGCCCATAGCCCTTCCTGGCCGACGTCCCTGCCTCAAACCCCGCTCCCTAAAGCCTGGTACCCCTAAAATGCCCACTCCAGTAAAGGCTTCAACCCCTAACAGCCCCCATGAGGGTTTAGGGTTTAGGGTTAAAGTTTAATTTCAAAAATTATTTTAAATTAAGTAACTTTAATTAAATAATAAGTTAAAATGAAAGTAAACCCTAAACCCCGTTCTTGATCGTCGATAATTGCTGAAACCCAGGTTACACTCGAAACCCTGGACACCAAACTACCTAAATCCTAAAGCCCCCTGTACCCCCTGTATTCCTTAAGCAAAGCACACACCAAAACTTGACAGGACCCTTCAATGCACCCGGATGACCCTTGGATGCAACGATCAGGCCAGGCACTGCATCTAAGGGTGTTTTGTGTGCATCCAAGGGTCATTGAGGGGTACTGGTCTGGTGGGATCATCGCCTTTGCTTCTGTCCCAGTGCCAGTCACTCGTCGCGAAGTTTGAAGTTGTCAGCAAGTGCTGCATTCAACTTAAACGTTGCATTCAAGGCTCCAGGCACCAAGGCACCCAGGCTCTCAGGCTCCAAGGCCTAGTAGAGTGTGCATTTTGACCCTACCCACACAGTGTACGCTGCCGTTACGTCACTGTGGGCACCGTTGGCCGGGTGTCGGGCCGCAGGAACTCAGCCTTGAGGCCAACCTGCCAAGGCAGTGGCAGATGACAGCTGGGCCAATGGGCTAATGCGCCAGCTGGGGCAAAAATCTGGGCCAGGGATCCTGTTGTCCCGCCAGATTGTTCCTGCAATGAGGGGGAGGCTTTACTGCTGGGATCATCGGCTTTGCTTCTGTCCCAGTGCCAGTCACTCGTCGCGAAGTCTGAAGTTGTGCAAGTGCAGAATTCAAACTTTGCATTCAAGGCTCCAGGCCCCCAGGCCCCCAGGCGCCCAGGCTCTCAGGCTCTCAGGCTCCAAGCCCCTGAGGCTGCATGTCTACCAGCCCTCCGTGCGTCTCCAGGCACTTTGAGGCAGTGGCTGGATGGCTGGGGTTCGGGCTTTCAGAGTGCCACCGATGCCAGCACGTTTTGGTCTCGGGGCGACCAAGCTTCCACAAAGATTGATACAAGTCTTCAAACTCGTCATTGTTGTTCGTCGATGATAGTTGAAACCCAGGTTACACTCGAAACCCTCGTTACCAAACCACCTAAATCCTTAAAGCCCCCCTGTACACCCTGTAAATTCCTTAAGCAAAGCACACACCAAAACTTGACAGGACCCTTCAATGCACCCGGATGACCCTTGGATGCAACGATCAGGCCAGGCACTGCATCTAAGGGTGTTTTGTGTGCATCCAAGGGTCAATTGCTGAAACCCAGGTTACACTCGAAACCCTCGACACCAAGCCACCTTTATCCTAAACCCCACCCTGTACCACCTGTATTCCTTCAGCAAAGCACACACCAAAACTTGAAAGGACCCTTCAATGCACCCGGATGACCCTTGGATGCAACGATCAGGCCAGGCACTGCATCTAAGGGTGTTTTGTGTGCATCCAAGGGTCATTGAGGGGTACTGGTCTGGTGGGATCATCGCCGTTGCTTCTGTCCCAGTGCCAGTCACTCGTCGCGAAGTTTGAAGTTGTCAGCAAGTGCAGCAATTTAAACGTTACCGTTGCATTCAAGGCTCCAGGCACCCAGGCACCCAGGCTCTCAGGCTCCAAGGCCCAGTAGAGTCGCTGCCGCCATGATTCCAGGCACTTTGAGGCAGTGGCTGGACGGCTGGGGGTCCGGCTTTCAGAGTGCCACCGAGGCCAGCATCGGTGCCACTCATGCCCGTTTTGGTCTCGGGGCGGCCAAACTTCCACAAAGATTGTTGGTGGGAACTGATTGCAGTGGCATTGATGCACCGATCCATGGCCTTAGGGAGCTCGGCATCACGCACCAGCATTTGTTTGGGAGTGAGGTGGCTGCTGGTCCTCGGTCGGTTATCGAGGCTAATACCAAGCCCTCGGTACTGTTCCACAGTGTCCTGGATGCTGACAAGGCACCGTTCGTTCACCTGTACATTGCCGGCTTCAGCTGCAAGCCGTTCAGCCTGCTCCACAATAAGTCAAGGCTCCTCAAGGAAAAACAGGCTCAAATATTCTATGGGGTCGTTGCACGCATCCAACTTGTGCGGCCCTCGTGCTTCGTGCTGGAGAATGTGTCAGGCATCAAGCGTGTTTCTGCAAAGGTTCTGGCGGCACTCAGGTCCACAGGCTATCATGTCGAAATGATTTTGATGAACCCTGCCGAGCTACAGGAGCCCATCCAGAGGCCTAGGTACTACTTCATCGGGGTCCGGCAAGATGTGAGCCTCATCTCGCCAAAGGACATGTCGTGCTGGCTTCGTGAGGCTTGGGCGGAAGTCCTGGATGCAGTTGCTTCCGGAGACGCAGTCGATCTTTTGGATAGACTGCTACCGGCGAGCCACCCTGCTGTGGCACAGTACCAGGAAAGCCGCAAACGGAAGTGGTCGCAAGCTTCCAACCGTGGGTTCCCAGGCTCCCAGGCTCCAGGCTCCCATGCTCCAAAGTGGAAAGAATTGCACAAGATGTGCAAAGCTTCAATGCAGCAGGGCAGCCGGTTGAAGAGTGAGAGTCGGAGGCCTTGCACTGAGAGCGGAGTCGCCTGCTGCGCAGACACGTTGTTCCTGCATTTGCCGCGTGAGCGTGATGCCTGGGACATCATTTGCACAAAGCATGCAGGCAGTAAGGAGCTTGTCGCGGATGTATCCCAGAATGTGAACCGAGCCCGGGTGCGGACCGATGGCTCCCTGCCTACTGTTACACCTGGGGCCGTACTGGTATCCGCACGAGCTGGAAGGATCATTAGCCCGCTTGAAAAAGTCATGCTGCACGGTTTTCCAATTCACCGTATGGTTTTTCCCAGCAAAGTGACCGACAAGGAGCTCGCCAGCATGGGCGGCAACACGATGCATGTGCAGATTGTAGCCGTGGCAATGAAGTTTGCGCTTGCGTTGGTAAACTGGAGCCTGCCCAAAGCTTCCCGGCCGACAGCCTTGTGCAGCACCGTTGCTGCGCCAAGCATAACTGCTTCAGTTGTGCTCGGCGCAGCAGCGAAATGCCGCAAGCGCCATGGCAAGCCACGGAAGGCTCCCAAGGCGCGAAAGGCTGCATCGGCGCAGAAGCCTCCAAAGGCACCAAAGGCTCCAAAGGCTCAGAAGGCTGAAGGCATGTCAGCTTTGGCAAAGCGTTGGCAGAAAGTCTTGAGACCGCAGGCAGCAAAGAAGTGCTCGAGGAAGGGTGCCACGGCCACATTGGCGTCCCGTCTTGCCCATCGCTGGGCAAAGTAGTAGTCATTAATTCGTCATATTATGACGGAGAATGGCATGCGTTTTCTAATTTGGCCACTCGGAGTTGGCATCATAGACTGACTTAGGTGAGGCCGGGTGCAAAATTCGGGAAAGCCTGCTCCGAGCAGTACAGATTATTTAGACTGGGTCACCCTGCCGACTCCCAGTGAAACAAACCGCCGCAGTGTGCATAGGAGTTCGCAGTGTTGTGCCATTCGGGCTGCTTGACTCGGGGTAATACCCTCACGTCTGCCAGGCAGCTGCTCGCTGTCGGATCGAACGGGAAGCTGGAGGCGCGGTTCTCGGGTTAGTCGGAGTCGGTTGGACCAGTTGCAGAGTCTGATTCAGTTCCAGTCTTAGCACGGTTGCCACGGTTGCGTTTGCTTGTCATCGTAAGTGCTGCGCGGTCGCTTCAGGCTCCCAGGCTCAAGGCTCCAAGGCCCCCAGGATTTCAATGCCAGTGGGTAGCCGCACCCTGCGTGGTCTTGCCGCTCGGTTCGGACTACGCTCCCGGAAGCAGGACCGGACGCCGGCAAAAAAAAGACGAGGTCCACAAGGATCCGTGCCTGCGGCCCCGAAGAAGCTTCGGCTCGAGTCCGGCGAAGGCCTGGCTCAGGAGGGCGACGACGACACCGGAAAGGGATGTGGCGATGTTGGTCTCGCGACTGAGAGCGATGCAGAGCATTTGGCTCGCCATCGTGGTGGCAACTCTCTCTCTCTCTCTCTCTCTCTCTCTCTCTCTCTCTCTCTCTCTCTCTCTCTCTCTCTCTCTCTCTCTCTCTCTCTCTCTCTCTCTCTCTCTCTCTCTCTCTCTCTTTCTCTCTCTCTCTCTCTCTCTCTCTCTCTTTCTCTTTTTCTCTCTCTCTCTCTCTCTCTCTCTCTCTCTCTCTCTCTCTCTCTCTCTCTCTCTGTTGGATCGTTATTGTTTGTGGCAGACTTGCTACTTGACTATGTTGCAGTTGCTGGTTGGTTCTTGCTTCCGGCATTCTCGACTTGATCTCGTCCGTTTGCATACAATCCCAACATGTCAGTCAGGTTCCTTCGCTTCCAGGAAGTTTGGAGCAAAGCCGGAAGCCTCACCCACACGTCTTGGGGCAAGCAGCAGCGGACAGTTTGGCTGGGCCAGAGACCAGCTCGCCGAGGAGGCGATTGGGGCATCGGCTGTCACTTTTGTGCACACTTGATGAATGTTTTGGCACAGAACCCAGCAGAGCGGAAGAGGTTGCAGTCCGGCCGAATTGTGCAGTGTAGTGCGAGCGGATAGCCCCTTTGTGATCAAATTAAGGCTGACCGTGACCAGCCCAACTTTCGCAGCCCTAAATGCCTAAGGCTGGGCAGTCGCCTCTCTACCAAGTGGGGTGCCTATGAGGTCCGATCAAGGACCGCATCATGTTGTCGTTGTCAGCTGTGATTTAAGGCATCAGTCGCAGACTTTGGCAGGAGTGCGATGCAGGCATGCTGCATACACGCTCACAGCAAGACCTTCGTTCACCAGGTGGCCACTAAGGTTTACCTAGCTCCTGACACGCCGATCTCACAGTGCTTGCCTTACAGCATCAAGCATCAGCACCTCTTCTCCGGCAACGTTCCTCAGCCGGCAGATTGGCTGCGAGCGTGGCGGGCGTGCCGGACAGCATCTTCTTTCAAAGGTGCCGTGAAATTCTATTCCACGGAAGACTTCGCTGCTGGCAGGAACACGAAGCTTGACAGTGTGAGCCAGGATGCAGCACTTTAAAAGGCCTAAGGTTTCAGATTGTTGACATTTTATTTTGGCACATTTAAATTTAAAATTTGACAAATAATTTAATTAATCATCTGAGGTCTCAAGAACATGATTCTTGTTATGCACTGGGCTGTCAAGAGTGTTCGCAAGCAGCGTCCCGAACAAGCCACCAGCATCAGCTTGTCCGTGGACGACCGCAAGGAGTATCGTTTGGTGAGGTACCGTTGCGATGTTCCACCGCGCACTGCCAAGCAGTCAGCGGCTCCAGGCTCCCAAGGTCCCCAAGGCTCCCAAGGCTCCCAAGGCTCGGAGGATGGCCCGCTTGTCGCCGATGGCTTGCTTGGGGTCTACAAGACAGGGGCCAGTGTTCCTGAAAACACATTGGAGGAGCACGATG